CCAGCAATGAGAAAATGCTAGTTGTGTTCGGAATCATTCATAAACTCTAATTAGGCATTCGTTGAGATACGGACAAGTTGAGGAACCGTGGACTACTACAGAATGTATTAGATTTTGAGGTTATAATTATTATATTTAATCGTAAAAGATGTACACTTTATATATTCTGAATAGATTTAGTGTTTACCTCTATGTAAGCACTTAAATAATATACATTAAATGAACATAAAATGTAATTAATAATAAAAATAATAAATGCTTATATTCATATTGATTTATGAGTGTTGTCAGTTGGCACCTATGATACCTATACCTACCTGTAGTAGGTAATAATAGATTTCTTTTCAAATGAAATGTTCAGTCTTTCCATTTACCTGTTTCTATATTTTACTATCGGTAATTAGGTATGTACCTGGTTAAATAAACAGATATTACATGGGATGGGAGTATAAACTATCTTTACATAATTTCAGAAATAATCTTTTTATAAATATAATATAAATACTAGTAATAAGTATTATTAACTAAGGTATCTAGTTCTATTTTTATGTTGATAAATACCTATGGTCGCCTTTATTGCATTTATTAAGGTAAACAATCTTGGCACAACTTTTTAACAGAATCACCCATTTAATAATAAAATATTGACGAAGCCAATAAACTATTAAAATAAATCGTTATTATAGACTGAAACCCATTGAATCCAGTTTTCAGTTGATTTTTAATGCTGTATTTTCAATAAAAAGGAGTGCCAAGTTGGTTGAACAGACTGTAGTATCTAGTAACAGAACTTTTTTCTTTTATTTTTTTAAACAGATTGTCCGTTAACTATGATTAATTGCTAATAAATTAAAAAAATAGTAGAAAAATAATAGTGAAGGACATTCTTTTGGGCATGATAGGGCCGATTTCGTCGAAGTCCTTTGAATGTGGATTATTTATAAAATAATCCTTCTCCCACACCTGAGGGAAAGATAAGTCTTTGCAAAGATAACCGATACGGTAACAAATATACCGTTCCATAAACAGTACCCGAAGGGACTTTCATAGGCTTTCAGATAGAGTTGACAAAAAAGCTGTTCTCACAAAATTCCTAAAAACGAGAAAGCTATAGGTAAGTGTACTGCAATAGGTATTGCCATAGTACTGCGATGGGAAACTGAAAAATCAATACAAAAACACATCGACCTCACACCATAGCCTCCATTTTGTTCGCCAATCACCGTCGGCCGAATGTCTGCAGATGTTCAAATAATTGCCGCGTCCACGCCGCACCTCCATATGAATATTTATGTCCATTCGTCTGTCTACCGGTATCGTGCCGTGCCGTAATGAAATTCGACGGCTTAATCTGTAGTTTCGGTAATGGTATTCCACGCTACGATTTGGTTGCGATTTCGCGAACGCACGCTACATCGGAAGCGAAGGGGAATGAAATGGATTGAATATTACCGCTTGTTATGAGGGAAATCTTATAATAAATAATCGCAACTCATAGAAGAATGCGTGAAGGTATCAAATACTCAGATCTGCAATCTACAATTGACCAGACTAAGCCACAAGATCACACGAGGACCGAATAGATTAGAGAAAGCACAGGCGGCTTCATGATGGAAGAGATTGGGAGCCGTAAATGGGATGGTAAGATACATGACACGGATGAACCACGATCGCTGGGCCAGAAAGATCTTAGAGCGCAGACCCCGCAAAGACACCCGCAGCTGAGGAAGACCGCCTAAAAGATGTACAGATGACATCCGGCAACAGACTGGTATTAGGTGGATGCAAATGGCCGGGGTCAGAAGTCGGTTGAAAGTTGAAGAGGAAGACGTTATAGATAGACAAATAGATCTACGCAATAAACAGATAAGGTCATTAACGCTCCGTTTATGCCATCTATTTTGACGATCACGCGGGGAAGCAAGATCTATACCCACTTATTCCAAAACGCGGACTAAGTCTAGGTGTAAACGTAATGTCGTCTCTTTCTTCTTATTGGCAAACAAAAGTGACAGCATCAGTTTTAGTCCATGTTTAAGTTTAGCCTACGTTGTATAATAAGGCGGATAGAGTGCTTCTCGTTGAACTGGGATTATGGAATTTGGTAATAAGCAGTACAAGCGATGCGAAGCTGCATTTTAGTTAGGTAAAATATGCAATCGGGGTGCATGAGAAATACACAGCTGCGCCTATGAGACGGTTGAGGAAATGTGAAAAAGTTGAGCAACGTTGAAGTTAAACAATTTTCGCAGTGGTTGGTCATTGGATTTTGACCAAAAATTTACTATCTCGAGCTCCTCCGTGCTTCAGAAGGCACGTTAAGCCGTTGGTCCCGGCTACATCTGCAGTCATTAGCACCCACCAATTCGCACTGGGCCCGCGTGGTGGGTCATGGCCCAGTCTCCCTATTCCATCCATAGGGAAGGCCTGTGCCCCAGCAGTGGAGACATTAATAGGCTGATGATGATATTGATGAATAACTGAATGAATGAAACAAATAAATTTTATTTTGCCAACTGTAGTTCTACATTTATATACGCAATACAGAATCAATCATCTTCATTATCGAATCATAATCATTTATTCAGTTTAGGCTGTTACAAGCACTCATGAATGTCGAGAAGCTACGCCATCGGTTCGCAAAGCTACGGCGGGAGAAAGGTCTCCCGTACAAGGGTACTGAGAAGAATCGGCAAGAAACACAGCAAAGGCTGCTTTTTTCTCCCTGTGTTATTATTTATAGTTAAAAAATGAAAACATAATGATTAAATATACATTAATTGTTCACCTGCATAATGATTGCTGTGTCATCACATTAACATTTTAAAGGCGTAAGTTTGTGAGTGTGTATGTTTGTTACTTCTTCACCTCTAAACCGCTGGAGCGATTTTAATAAAATTCGGTATGGAGTTAGCTGACACCCTGGGTTAACACATAGGCTACGTTTTACTGCGGGAAAATATCCCTAACTAACCGCGGGTAACACCGCGGTGCACAGCTAGTACAGTATAAATACAAATGAAACAACATTCCCTGTTTTAGGATATGGTATTAAGATCTACCACTCGGATTTGAGAGGACCAAATGCAAAAACTTGATTAGTATTCCGAGTGGTTCAGGTGTTATTATGAAGGGTACAAGTTCAAAGATTTGGGCGGTTTAGTAAAAATCATTTTATATTGCTAATATTGATAATAATCCGAAAGTGTCAAAATGTAAAAAAACGACGGGTTGCACTCCGGGAGTGCCGACAGAAGTGAAAACTTGAGTATTAACGTTGTACATTTTTGATATTTTGGAATGGTTAGGGAATAATTTTGCACGAATTGTTTTAATTATCAGTTTAAAAGAACTATCATGTATGTGGTAGAATACAATATTTATTTTTCGCGCAATCGTACACAAACATGATAATTTATATTACATTAAAAAGTTTATCTCTCAGAAAAATCAACTTACATGAATCACGTCAAGGCGCACTTAGCGACATCTTTTGTAAAAAAATCAACTTACATGAACCAGATTTAAGCGCACCTAGCGACATCTATTGTAAAAAAAATGCATTTTCTTGCAATAAAGCTGCCACGTGGACGTCCTAGATAGAGACTTAATATTATAATACGATAAAATAAAATATTACTATGTTTCGTCCAATATATTGAAAGTCAACAACCTTTCCAATTTTATTGTGTGTCATGATGCGACCAGCCCTCGAGTTTAACATTTTTTACCCATACCAAAAAATGTGTACAACGTCGCTAAAGAAGTTTTCACTTCAAAAATATGTAGTTTTATAAAGCCGCGATGCAAGTAAAACTTTCAAGGTTTTTAGGTTTATCCATAAACGTAAGACGTTTGCCACTTTTTCCATTGATTGAGCATTGATTTATAAACTTTGGCTATACAGATGGAGCTAAAGAAGTTTCACTTCAGTCTTGTGGTTATAAGCATACTCGTTTTTCTATAGTGACCTAGCGAGGCTGGAGTTCCGTTGACGACTCCCAAACCATTCCACTGAATCGCCCAGATCGGGTTTGCTGCATCGATAATTTGCAACAGTTGATGCCGCTGCAATATGATAGCCTTCAAAAGGTGTGTAAAATTTTTCCTTCGGTAACGCATAGGACCCTTGGTGCTGCAAGTTTCCATGGGCGGCAGTGACCACTTACCATCAGGTGGACTGCCAGCTCGATTACCAGGATTAATATAAACAAACAAACTGTGAGCCGTCACGGGACGCCTGGCAGATGTGAAACATCGAAATTGTTTTATAAAAGTAATATGCAGAAAAGAACATATTGCGATAGGAACTTAATTGGCATAATGATAAAATAAAATATTTAGATTTATTTCCAGAAAATGATGACTGATTATTTAATAAACATTTGTTTTCATTAAATACAAAAAACTAATTTGATTGCGCATGGCGACGCATCGCCAAACCGTACACACTACTGCATATAGACTGTATATATATACCATCATATAGCTTGGCGGCATGAGTCGCCACACCAGAAATCGGTGTTACAAGCGCCTATAGATGTTTCAAATCAAAAGATAATCTTATGACTTGCGCCGCGACTTGATAAAAACCTCTCAAACTGACTCGGCTTGACAGAGGTCCGTGGCGAATCGACAGAATTTGACAGGTGTCAGCCTTGTCAAAGCCGAGGGCGCAGTTGAAAGGACAGTATAATCTGCGGGTTACCGCGTGTCAAAACAATTATGTCATGTTAATACCTCACCTACACAATGGTTTTCACGATTGAGCCGCAGCTGAAAAAACCAGGCAACTGCGAAGCGGGCTTTGTTTCCGTAGCAACATACAAAGTATAACATTAAAAAAAACTTCTTGAGGGATGTCTAAAAACTTAAAATGAGGAGCTGGCGAACAAAAGAGTATAATTACGCATATAGTTTTGACCATCTTATACTTTATTTTTACAGCCCGGAGGTTTTGGGCCAGCTGAATTTGAATTTCAACTCATGTCAATCAAAACCGCCTAAAATAGTGTTAAAACTAATAAATTAAAAATCACACCAAAAGCTCACGGTAGGTATGTCATCAAGATTTTTACTGCTCCTGTAAAATTTAATTTGATGTAATTATATCGTTTTGTTCACCAGCTCCTCAAATTAGAATTATCCTAAAACTTACCTACTCTATCTAAATATGTAATTATTAAGGTTCACTTGGTGCATAGAAATAATATAAATCATCAGACAAATTGAACCACCAAACAATCTAAAATTACTATCATAAATCACTGAATGACAATAAAAATTATCAAATAAAAACTCGATGATACTTAAATTATACTGTCATACATTTTCTGAAAAGGGACTCGAAAAATTAAAGTGAACTAAACTTAAAAAAGTATATGTACTTAATCCAATAGAGGGAGTTCGGATTATGGTCGTACTGAAAAAAAAGATGATGTGGAGGTCCCCACATGTACGAGCTAGCTTCGTACAATGCATTTTTCCCGCATCAGAACTTTCAACTTACCTCATTTTACATTATTGCACAAAATGATTTTATAAGTTAGTTCGCAAGCTACAAGCTACCATAGCGCGCGTACTCATACCATTGTCAATTAACAAATAGTTTATTTTTAGTATTTTACTTAAATATACCAATTTTATCAATATTAATTCTAATCATTTATCAGAACAGCTCGAAAACCGCAAGAGTTCCATGTCCAGTAGTGGACGTCTATAGCCTGATGATGTTATTTTTTTGCTAGTTCGTCTACGCTGCGCAGTTGTAACATATCGTAGGGAACACGACCCTATGTGTGACGACATCCTCCATCATGGGTTGTATTGTGTGCGCCCACAGCATGACGGGGTCACGGGTAGAGTTTGGGTCGTACTGAAAAACAAATGAAGATAGTAAAGAAAATATGTCTAGAAAAAAATCCACTTGGTCCAGGCTTCCGATTTGGCTAGCTGCCGTTTCAGAAATTAGTTTGATATGCATAACGCCATTACATGGCAAAATGTCCACTATGTGTGAAGAAGCAGCCAGTACTAGATATTTGACACTTTTTAGAAATCCGAATAAATGAGATTGTACCGCACCCGTCTGCTGCCTGATCAATTACTCAAAATAAACATAATAAAATGAAGGTAGTATTAAAACAAAAGAGGCAGGCCTTTGAAGCAAGAGAAAACTATTGAGTATTTGTGTTCCCTAAGCTTCTTAAGCAGACCTTTTTCTATGGTAATTATGTAAATCTTACATGAACTAAAACTAGAAACCAGATCTTTTAGCGAATTATATCTACAAATAAATGTCCCTATCGGGATACGAACCCAGGACATTTAATGGAGAAGGCAGGATTACTATCTTCGTACCAACCGACCGCAAAGGACAGGTTACCTTCCACCACACAGAAGACTACAGAGAAATTGATGACAAATGGTTTGTAGCTAAAGCAATCATCACCAAGTTGAGTATTCTGTTTGCACGGTGCACGGTGCTTGATATTCATTAGTCAATTCCACCGCATCGTTAATTGTTAAACAATAAATTAATACTTCCAACACTCACATCACATCTATGACTCGTGTGCAAATACTCGTATTCATCACACAAACATCTGTCCCCTCCGGGATTCGAACCCGGGACCTCTAGAGTAGGAGACATCTTGAAACCCAGAATATGAAACCACTCGGCCACGGAGATCGTCAAGTTATTTGGAAGATTTTTAGATAAACTGGTTGACTTACCATAGCTCCAATCATGTCGCTGTACTCATCATCAGGGATGTAGGAGATTTTTGTACTAGGAGCATCAGGTCTTACTACATTCACTCTGATATCTGTTGTTTCGTTCAAGTTCATGTAGGTAACGACCTGGAAATAACATACATTTACACACAACACGTCTACATGATAATAAAATTATTAATATGTATTTAAAAAAGACAGATCTCAAGTCAGTGGACCGAGATTAGAGAGGGTACCAAACAATTCCAATTCCTTGTGTCTAGCAAAAAAATATCTACTGTATTAGTTTTCCAATTCCTTTTGCCTAGCAATAGTAATAAAAATATCTATTTCCTAGGCGGTCCTCCACCCTGAAGAGTTTGGGTCTAGTTCTTGATAAGTACATACACCATGAATTTTGAGTTACCTGAGAAACTTTAATAGCTATTTCAACTTCATGCGTTACTTTTGTGTTTACCGCACATTAAGAAAATCTACCAACAAAATAGAAATAGAATCTCTATTTAGTGGGTGCTAACGACTGCATTGTGAAGGCCTATCAAAAGTATTTATTAATCTGGAACAACGGAACCAAAGCGCGATTCAGGAGACTACAGCGCCATCTCTTGACCATTGGTGTAGTAGAACCAAAAACCACATCTTTATTTTTTGTAATAAAGTAACAGTTATAGGTATTCATATTTATAATATTTATCCACATGTTTCTAGTTTGTATATTCGGAATACGTGTTTGAGTTTCATACAAGTGCAAATCACATATGTTCTAATAAATTATATTCAGTAGCGATTGATTTTAATTGAATATTTTGATTATTTATTTATTTTTTCAAATTAAAACTGAACTTTATTGACTGTGTCCTTTTCCAGACTTTTTATTAATTTATTGTAATTAATTATTTGCATGCAATTAAAAACTAATTTTAAACGATGCCAAAGAAGGATAACTTCTCACGCGCCTACATAAGTACACGCACCCATTTTTTTTCTAAGTGGTTCTCCTAATTTCCTTTAGCTGTCCAGTAATCTAATTGTATCGTACTTAATTCCAAAACAATTGAAAGAAGATTAACTATTAATGAACCATCTTTATGCGTGGCTACCCATAACCTTGCGATTTTGTTGAATTTTTTTACCGCGTATTTAGATTAAAACAAAAAGGGAAGATACAGTACGCTCATACTAGCATCAAATAAAATATGATCCGACTCAACTACATAAAGCAACTGTCACACACGCACACGTCTGTATACTGTATATAGACAATCAATCGAGCGAGCGAGACAGAACTGTACGCTTCAACGCAGCGCGAGTAAAACGGTTCTAGTCCGCGTCGCTTTGCAGCCGACTGCGTTTTCTTTTTTCTCTACAGGCGGCTGAAGATTCCATAACTAACATTCATGGCAAATCGTGATTTTTGCCGTGGCATTTGTTATTTGATCTTGAACTATTTGTGTTCTCTATAAAAGCATCGAAGGAATGGTGTTATCCTTATAACACATAATATAAGCAATATTGTTATATTAAGTACACATATTTGGATGTCCAATTGTGAATAAAGCGAATTGCAGTCATGCACCACAATTTAAGCGGATCACATTTGAGCCGCGAGTGCCATATCTTCCATTTTTGTTTTTATCTAAGAGCACGTACGAAAAAACTTTAGGACTATACATTGTCACCAGCGTGTTTCCGGACCAAAAAAACTTGAAAACCTTAAAAAAAATAGCTCCTTCCCTAAAAGCCGGCATCGCATTGGTGATACTCCTGGTTTCGCAGGTGTCTATGGGCGACGGTGATCACTTACCATCTGGTGAGCCATCAGCTCGTATGCCCTCTATAATATATAAAAAAACATATTTATATCTAAACAATTATTTTATATGTTGATAAATTTAGTATGTTTTATTAAAGCAGAAATTCATAAGTTATTGAGCTGTTCTTTAAAGTCCGTCACTGCGAACCTAATTTTAGTCACGCCCAAAAGTTTATCACTTCATAAATCCAAAACTAACTAGCTATACTAATATATATAGCTAATTATTATGATAATTTTTAATTATCATAAAATCTTTGCACTGACAATAAAGCTTAAAAATCATTGTGTATTTGGCCAAACATTTGGCACGTTAATGAAAGTGCCAAATGCACAAAGAAGATGTTTCTTATATCTATGGGACTTGGGCTAGGTCTTGTACATAATATACTTATAAAAGAAATCAAGAGAATAGTCGATTCCGACCATTTAATTTTCCATAATTTGCTTTATTTTGTGGTACAGAATTTTTAAATACCAATTATGACATTAACACATTCAAAATCTTCAATAGCGAATTTAGTTGGCAACGTCAGATTGGCGGGCATATAATTATCAAGTCTAGAAAACTGAGAAAACTTAACGGCACTGTCAGTTATCTGTCAACTAGTGTCAACAGTTCAGAAATACAATTACAGCACAGTACCCCTAGCACAAACCACTATCGAATTCGAATAGTTTGCAAACCGAAATGTCAATGTCAAATTTTGTATGGAAACTTGAACAGCAGCGGCAAAGTACGTAACGAGAACTAAAAATCAGTACAGATTTGACAATGACATTTCGGACTCGCAAACGTTAAGAATTCGATTTTGGTTCGTGCTAAGGGTACAGAACTCAACAAAATCTTTCTAAGTACTCTTTTACCTAATATATATAAATAGATAACCCCATAATATTCTTTGAGCTCCTGTAGTTTGTTCAGGCTTTTTAAGTATGCTTTAGTTTTCTTACGCTGTTGTTTACACATTACAATTTCGGACTTAATATGTTTCTATTACTAATATTTATACAAATTAATAAAGACATTGGCAAAATTGCCGCATTATTCTTCATTGCACCAATCAATTAGGTAAAGAAACTTATATTATTATATTTCTGGGAATGCTTATTGTTTAACCTATGTTTTAGGATTGTGTACATAGACCTGGCCGTAAATAAAACATCTCCTTTATAAATAAATGTGACACAACTTGTTGATGGAAGAGGTGAATATGATTTAAAATTCACAATCCAACTTTTTTTATTTGAACGAAAACGAAAAAATCTGAACGAAATTGGAGTCAGGTTTCCGTAAATTTCCGTTAATAAAGCGAAACTTAACTCCAATTTCTATACTTACTGCAAAATTTATCGCTATCAGTTTATGCATGACGCTGGCTGTGTAGTGCCGTGTTTTCCCGTCAATCTGGGCTACCACATCGAATCCAAGCACAGCGTTGTGCAGCTGCAACTGGCTCTCTAGGCTGGCCACGACAGAAGCTACAGATGCGTTCCAGACCCATCGCTAGATGATTATAAAAGACGATTATCTATTAATACTGAACTTGAATAAAGGATTAATATACAAGACTGAAGATTTCGATGGCGCATGCCGTAAGGCTGCGATGATTGAAGTTAAGCAATTTTCGCAGTGGTCGTTCATTTAATGGATGAAAAAAGTTTCTATCTCGAGCTCCTCCGTGCTTCGGAAGGCACGTTAAGCCATTGGACCCGGATGCATCTGTAGTCGTTAGCCGGCCTACCAATACACACTGATCCCGCGTGGTGGGCCAAGACCCAATCTCCTTATTCCATCTATAGGAAAGGCTTGTGCCCCAGCAGCGGGGACACTAATAGGCTAATGATGATGATACAAGACTATCTATGAGCTGATTAAGAAAAGGATTGATAGTTTCTTTATCTAGCTTCTTACTTCATGAAGCAGTTTTTTATTTCTGTGGAAAAAATTGCACAGATTGCGTCCAAAAGCTGTATAAACTAGATATTTTATGCTATTGAACACGACGATGACAAAACCAGACACCGGGGTCGGAGACTAATTAACCTTTCTATGTTTGTTGCTATAAGTTAAAAAATAAAAACTGATCTATGAAATAGACTAAGTTGTTCAAAACTTTAACTGTATTAAACATTAAGATTTTAACACGACTCACAAGTTTGTGACATGTTTTTTTTTTTATTATTAAAAATACAATATAAGCTTAAATCAACAACAGTGTCTCATAAACCTGTATTGGTTTTCCCGGACACTGCCGTTCGCCATCGGGACCCGTAGGTATGAGAGTACTCAATCAACAAATACATATAAATCATTCATTCATCAGACATTAATCGGTAAAATTAGTTAAAATTAAGTAAAGTTTAATGCGTATAACACTTAGATTAAAACAAGAAGGGAAGATACGGCACTTGCGGCTCATAAGTGAACCGCTTAAATGGTGGTGCATGCCCACAATTTTATTAGCTTTAGTGACAATTGGATATCCAAACACGATGCATGTGCATTGTGCACTCAATATAACAATATTGCGGATATTCCGTATTATAAAGATAAAACAAAGCCTTCGATACTTTTATAAAGAACACAATTAGTTCAAGATGAAATAACAAATGCCACGGCAACAGTTATCATTCGTAAAACTATCCAAAAAAGCACGGTTTGACATGAATGTTAGTTACTAATTCGCCTTTAGTTATCAAGAAAAGGACAACAATACAACTCAGCCGTCTGTAGAGAGAGAAAAAAAAACGCAGTCGGCTGCAAAGCGACGCGGGCTCGCCCGTTTCGCTCGAGCTCTAAGCTCGAGCTGCGTTGAAGCGTACTTCTGTCTCGCTCGTTCTATTGGATACTTTATTTACAGACGTGTGCGTGTGTGTGAGTTGCATATGTAGTTGAGTCGGAGCATATTTTATTTGATGCTAGTATGAGCGTACCGTATCTTCCCTTTTTGTCTTAATCTAAGGTTTAACAAAGTAGTTTTTCTAATAATACCTGTTGCACACTTCTGCCGAGTACGTCAACCCGTTCGATTGTGTGTAAAAATCCGTTTTTGTATGTAACTGTACCAGTGATATTGCGATCGATCAAGAAGAAGCTGAAAATAACGCAAAATTATACAGATTATAAGAGGTAGGGTATGAAAAGATTTTTTTTATGTTAAAAGGGTGTCAAACAAGCGTATGGTGGCAATGGTGGTAATCGGCCACCATGGCCTATAGACGCGTGCTATACCGGAAATATCAAACGCACCGTTGCCTACCCAATTGTCTTATCCCTTGGAGATTTTTTTTTGACGATGAGAAATCCCTTGACGGACCGTACCGTGCGCTGGCGAGGCGTACTGCGTGCCTGCGACTCACCCGGCGCGGGGCACAGCGCCGGTCTGCCCACTAAAACTCACCGGTACCCTTTTACGCCCATGTGGGAGCGTCTCGGCGCACCTCTGTGTGCGTCATTTCATCGGGACATCCCGTGGAGCCCTTTTTTTTTTATACGCAGGCAAAAAATACTATTTACAGACGACGGCGCCTTTAAGAGGCACACCGCCGAACGGACCTCACACCTGGCTCCCGCAAGCCTTACGAGCCCCAGCAGTGGCTGCCCACTGAGGACCCCGTAACCCTTACGGGCACTTTACGGCATAATATCCGCTAAAAAACCCTGCGAACACCCTCTAAGCTGCTTAGCGCGAAGCCGCGGGAACCCCTTTTTAGGGATTCTTCCGCGTATTCCGTGGAGCCCTGGAACATTACTCACCAACAGTAGACAACACCACCAAAAGGTAGTGTTATACTGTCATCTTCTGTAAGGTGGAGATTACTTCCCCAGAAGGGCGCTCCAATTCGAGCGGGAAATCCGCTATTCAATTCAATTCAAATCATATCATTTATTTCAGAAGTAGGTTCCATAATGTTAGTTACATTTGATTTACTTATAAATATGTTAGTATAATAAAGAATACATAAAATATTACTATTGGATATGGAGCTTCACCCAGTGTCGTAGCAGAGGAGTGTCCCACCGACCATTAAATACTCTCAGGAGGCTGTTGGTACTAGAACGGAGCTTAGTGCGCATGGAAGCGGACCTCTTTCTTATAATGGCATAAAAGTCGTCCGTATGCGCCTCCGCAAGCATTTTTGACGCGCTGCAACGCCGCGCCAGTCTCAACAGTATCCTGAAGGCGTTGTTATACCTTACCTCTTTTGGTATTGGTGTACCAGTGCGTAATTTTCACCTTACAGAACACCACAGTAAAATAAAGATACCTTTTGGTGGTGTTGCGTCTCTGTTGGTAAGTAACGAATTTCCGGAGCTGCACGGAAACTTTTAATTGTGTCTTATTAAAGCTGATTATGCTCTGAGACAGACGATGGATAGACACGTAGACACGGAGCAACTTTCACTATAATCAGTCATATGATTTGTGAAAAAAAAAACCGACATGCACATGTCCGTTTTTTTTTGTGTTCTCATGCGATAGAAGTGAACCATACACATCGGACAAGCGCGCTTGTCTTGCGCTCAGCCACCTCGACGCTCGCTCGCTTGTACTCGGCCACTCTCGACGCTCGCTCGCTTGCGAAATGTAATCAAAGCCTAACAAAGGACACCGTTTATTTTGGCCGGACACGAAAGCACAATCAAAAAGCCTAACTATGTTCGGCTTTATCCGGTAGCTTAGCAACGATATATAAAGGCCCCTGTGCCCTATCATTAGCAATACGCGCCACGAAAGATGAGACTTGACGTGCCACGTGGTTTAACATGCGCAGTAAACGATTTAATGGTCTCTTCAGTGGTATGAGGTGGGGGAAAGAGACCGGGCGCCATCGGTGTGACAGAAAGAGCGTGGTACGCGTCCTCTAGAGGCACTCGCCAATTCTCGGCATGAGGTCCCCTTAGGATCTCGCCGTCCCCAAATCCGGAAACACTGTTAAGGTCATCTGCGACTAGTGTTGCCAGGTCCGATTTGTTTTAAATCGGTACGAGAGGTCAAAAAATCGGGATTTAGGGTTGCAGATCGGGTCAGTTAAGAAAAAACAAGGGGTTTTTAAGTCTGGGTTAAATTGATTGCGTTTTTAACTACTGGTGCAAGTATAGTATTAAGTATATTAATTACCTAAATTTAATTTTTTGGTTAATCGGGACATTTAGCGTCCCGATCAGGTACAAATCGGGACGCGTCCCCAGACCCCTGAAAATCGGGACGTCCCGCGCAAATCGAGACACCTGGCAACACTATCTGCGACCAACAGCATACACCCTCAAAAAAAAGTGGGAGGGGCGGCAATGCACTCGTCAAGTCTCATCGTGGCGTGTACTATACCTTTTTTTTTTAATACGCCGGTAAAAAATCTATTTACAGACGACGGCGCCTTTAAGAGGCACACCGCCGAACGGACCTCACACCTGGCTCCCGCAAGTCTTACGGACCCCCCAGTGGCTGCCCACCGAGGACCCCGCAACTCTTACGGGCGCTTTACGGTATAATATCCGCTAAAAAAGTCCTGCGAATACCTCTACACTGGTTAGCGCGAAGCCGCGGGGTCCCCGTTTAGGGAGCCTACCACGGCTTCGCCCCCAGCAGCTTCCCGGTCTCGCCGGGACTCCACGGCAGGGGTCTCCCGCGGTATTTCGGGGACCCCGCAGACGTGCGCAGGTAGGCCCGCGCGTGGGGGCTGGATACGCGGCCTACTGCCCACCATACCGCGGCGTGTACTATACCTGATATTCTCATTGATATCTGGGATTTTCAGATTACACCATCCATTGTTCTCAATATCGTGCACCGTTTCCTCGACGACCTTCAGCATATAGGTAGAGTGCTGGAGAAATCTCACATTCCGAACTGAAACATTAATAATTTATATTATTCTGTTATAATATTCGGGTTTATTAAATGTATGATGTACGCAAAAATATTCATGATTAACAGTAGAATTTGATTAATTTTAAAGTTTTACGAACCCACTTGATTAAACGCAGGCCCAGTCTGAAATAGTAATATTATCACACACAAAACTCCTTTCATTTTAATTTAACAACACTTATGTCTATTGGATAGTGCTAGTGAGTAATGAACTGTTAATTGTTATTTAAAATCAATTAACAACGATAATACTAATTATAATCAGTTGCTAGATTTAAATCTTTAGGTACATACTTGAACGATAAAAATTGGCTACTGGTTTGTTAACCACGTATTCTGAAAGTGCATTAAAGGTATTGTCCAAATATTGGCTGAAACCTCCAACGATATTAATATCATTGAAAACCTTCTATAACCGTCCGGGGAAGTACCGAACCTACACCTTAGCCTACAGCTGTTAAATAACACATCCTTTTGCTCATTTAATATTTCTGTCAGTGCATAAAGTGGGATTAGGTAAGATGAGGATAGTTGAATCTATTCAATGTATTTAAAGCGCCTTATATTAAATAAGTAAGTTGTAATTTAAATGGTTTAGTTAAGCAACTTTCGCAGTGGTCGGTCATTGAATGGGTGACCAAAAATTTACTATCTGGAGCTCCTCCGTGCTTCGGAAGGCACGTTAAGCGGTTGTTCCCGGCTGCTGCAGTCGTTAACACCCACCAATCCGCACTGGGCCCGCGTGGTGGGTCATGGCCCAATCTCCCTATTCCATTCATAGGGAAGGCCTGTGCCCCAGCAGTGGGGATATTAATAGGCTGATGATGATAATCATGAATTTAATAGGCACCTATTGGTATTTTTTTTCTGTAAGTACTCGTCAATCGTTTTACGATTACCGACTATCTGTCTGGATTTAATAAATCACGAGTATTAAGATTACGCAATCTTATCGTGAACAAAATCTTACAGACCGCCTGAATTATAATTTCATTACGTTCCCAACAATTCTGAAGATGATTAGAGTCGGCTGTTTATATATTTTCATATTAATTTTCGCGCCTTCGTTAGAAGTTAATTTGTGTAAGTCTTTTTTCGTTCATTAATCTAAGCACAGGGTGTTTTATACTTGTAAAAGTGTCTCATTCGACATTGAAGTTGAGTACCTAGGCCTTTTTTACGATGAAGGGAGAGAAACTGCTTTAATCCATGCCACATCATACACCCGTAAATGCATGATTCGACATGCTGCATTCGGTGAGTGGAATGCAGTGTACTGCACTGCTATATTAAAGAGTTTGAAGATTGCTGACCATCCGCGGTCGCAAAAGGGGCATTCACTTGTGCTTGCACAAGGGACTACCCTCCAGTCTCTTCGGCTATCAAGCGAGCAACTCCGTACCCTCCAACATGATCCTGGGCTTCTCTGGTCGACGCGCCAAACGGCTAACCACCTGTCCCGCAACTGTAGTCCATGGTGGATAGTCGGCCAGGCTTCGTCTCCCATACCTACCAGGTAAAACACTTCCCAGATCTACCACGCATTAATCGGACATGACTACGGGTCCATTGAGAGTCACCGCGAGTCATGTCTGAAACTGAGTACCTAGGCCAAGATATGCTGTGAACTTATGGTGCAGTCTCGCTGGCAATTTTTTTATAGCATTTCATAGTTCCCTGGTAGCATAAATTGATCTAGTGTATTCACCTGGCCTGTATAGCGCTTGTTTAAATAATTGCCTAGCATGAATGTCCGTTCTAAATCGCGATATCAAAGTTCAAACTGACCAACATTAATAGGCCTGTAGCCCTTGCGCAATGATACTAAGCCCTTTCGTACACATGACATGACTACGATATTAAGTAGCTAAAGTTTATATTCCGTTACTGAGAAAGTCTAGTACCTAGTAATTTAATTCATTTTTTTTTCAGCGGACAAAGTAAAACTGTTGCATGGTGATACGTATTTTACAAAAGTTTTACAAGAAACTTTTTACGAGATAGAAGAAAGAGGTTTTTGTAATTTAAAGCTGGTCGACTTCAATCAAACGCTGAAGTGAGTGCTGTGATCGTCTTATATTAGGCACCTTGCGCACTAGACGGCCACGACCACGGCCAGTGGCCGCAACAACCAGATTAACCAGAGCTGGCCGTGGCGGCAAAATGCGCGACGTTACCAACGCGTTGATATAGTTTCTTAAATTAATCTGGTCGTTGCGGCCACTGGTCGTGGCCGTCTAGTGCGCTAGGTACCTTATGATTGTACAAATAACTTACCACCTATAGTAGACTGTGGATACTCACATATTACTATACTTTGGCGTTGTGATTTAGCTATGGGTAAAATTATCACAAAGCTCCCCGGAATAAAGGATATCCTCTAATATCTTAAATATGTATGTGAGAGAGGTAGAGCGTAGTCGTAATGAAGATAGTGCTTACAAAAATAACAATCAACCGTCAAGTCAGTGAAACCTCCTTTAGGTGTGCCCGGTAATACATTAGGCTTGCAATCCAGATGATTCCTGCCTGATGATCTCATCAGGAACATATCAGACCTTAAAGTTATGCACATGCTTCGCGCGTCAGCATCCATATCTACCTAATAAGCTTTGATTTTTTTGCATAAAATTAAAGTCTTATAGTCTAACCGTTTACGTCTCACGTATGCTACACACCATTCATACCACAATAATTATTTGAAAATGATATACGAGTCCTTGAAATTCGGATATTGGACTTCTATAATTTTCTTCGTACAACAATCTCGATACCTATTTGAAAAAATCAATTTGATATTTAAATTTTCTAATCTGGCAATCTTATATGGTGATGCTGATATTTATACATATAAAAACTTTATATAATAAAAAATCGATAATCGATAAAATCGAGGAGCTCGATGGCGCAAGTGGTTAGCGCGTTCGGCTGCGATCGTTGAAGTTAAGCAACTTTCGCAGTGGCCGGTCATTGGATGGGTGACCAAAAATTTACTATCTCGCGCTCCTCTGTGCTTCGGAAGGCACGTCAAGCCGTTGATCCCGGCTGTATCTGCAGTCGTTAGCACCCACCAATCCGCATTCGGCCCGCGTGGTGGGTCATGGCCCAATCTCCCTATTCCATCCATAGGGAAGGCCTGTGCCCCAGCAGTGGGTTCATTAATAGGCTCATGATGATGATAATAATAAAAAAACCCTTATTTATTTCCCAGTGAAACCCTATACAAGTGGCATGTGGTCGGGCATGTAGCCTACACGAACGGCTTTGTCGTATCCATTGACAGGATTGCCCTAACCAATGTGGGGAGTTCAACTTTCCATTCCAATGCCGGCGTTACCTCGGCAACATTCAGCGCTACGCTCAACTTATATCACGTCAAAGTGGGATATGACGTCACCGCGGTACTAGACAACGAAGGCACCCACCGTTTCACCGGGACCTTTAACCATAATCATATTGAACAGAGGATAGTCGTAAGTACCTTTCACCCACTTGTACTTACTTGTACTTAGAAAATACTCAGCGATTTTTCGCCCTTTTTACTGTCTGATAAATGCATGGAGCAAGCGGTTTGCCTTCTTCTAAAACAAAATTAGTACTGGGAGCTGAACTATCGAGCGGAGAAGCGGTCATTTGTCCCTAAAAGCTGGACGCGCTTCTATTTCTTCCTCGCCAAGTAAGCGAACAGTGCAAGACATAGGGAGAAAGACCTACGGAGAGCCGGAAAAGCCGAACGCATAAATATTTGGTCGGTCGGTTGTTCGGACCCAAATCAGCCAAACATGTTCATTTTATGGTAGACGACAATCCTTTTTTTTATAACGCAACGGCAAAAATGCTCTTTACAGACGACGGCGCCTTTAAGAGGCACACCACCGAACGGACCTCACACCTGGCTCCCGCAAGTCTTACGGACCCCCCAGTGGCTGTCCACCGAGGACCATGCAACTCTTACGGGCGCTTTACGGCATAATATCCGCTAAAAAAGTCCTGCGAATACCCTCTAAGATGCTTAATGCGAAGCCGCGGGATCCCCGTTTAGGGATTCTTCCGCGTCTATCTATAGACGACAACAACTCCTACCACGAGTAGCCAGACGTGCTAAATCATTCCCGCTCGTTTCTCCGAGTCATAGAGTTAGACGAAATGAGCAGGAAGTGTCATACCCACAGAACACAGAATACCCACCCTGATTGGGACCCAAACACTAACATCGAGCCAATATTCCTGCACTTCTGGCGAGCAAGTGCAGTCGTGGCATTCTGTTACGGCTGACCATCCCCATCCGAACGAAGGCTGAGCCGAGAAATTAAATTTATATTTTTCAGGTTTCAAAGGACTTGGCCACGGGAAAGTTTGTAGCTACACCAACAACAAACTCTGTGTCCGGAGGAAGTGGAGTCATAATGGTTTACATGCCTGAGAACAGAGTCAGCGAAGTACTGTCGAGACACGTGAGTGGTTTTTCAAGCTATACAATCAGAAATTGTTTAGTCTCCCAATCATATCATCCATATAAATTGAAGAGAAAACAAACAAAAATATGCCGCTATGTCCTTTTCTGCCTACGCACACAAATTATTTAATGATAAATGTACTAAAATTAGTTTATGTAATTGACGTCGCCTAAGGAACGAGAACTTTATTTAATTTATGTTCACGAACAGACAGACGGACTCCAGGTGTATATAGTAGCGGCATGATTATGATGGCCCTTATAACACATTGCAATAGTGACGCAAAAGGACAATTTGTTATCGATAAAAATCTAATACATACTATTATAATCAAATGCAAATCCCATCTAGGTATTAAAAAATGAAAATTCTAATAAATATTGCAAGAAGTTGCTGATTGTAAAGATAGAATAAAACGAGAACATAAACGTGATTTATCACTCAAAATTATTGAAATCGTGTTTTTTATATTTTGAATTTCAAAAATACTTACCTTGGCCGGTGTTTAGAAGCTTGGTTTTGTACTGGAAAAGGTTATAGTATGACTATATTACAAGATAATTTTGTAAAACTTTATTCTAGACCTTAAAATTACCGATTCGATAAATTTTATGAGTAAATGCTCGTCTCTAATGTCAATGAAGAACCATAATTATTTAGTTTCAAAAAATGTAGAATTAATTTCGAATATGAAACTTCATGTGCGCACAAACGTCAAATCGGCCATTATAGCGTGCCGCTAATATATTGTCATCACTTTGGGTACAACTCTAAAGACAGGTTTGCAGATCCTGTTAGTGGCGTATGCGTCAAAATAGATAAATGTATCTTTCAGGGGATTCAGATCAATACGAGCTTACTTTAAAGTGACATCCATGGATGGTAATAATATTTTTTTCTCTTTCTCTTTCAGTTTCTGGCAACAAGCACACGACCAAATCTCGCTATATGGATAAACGAAATAATAATACCGATTATGTTGGAAAAAGCAAAATCAATTGATTTCCCTGATTACTGCGTACATTGTTGATTTACGAATATGTTGTGTTGTGATATTAAATTATGATCCATACATCGTTTTTACACATTTTATTTGCCTTAAACATAAAAAGTAACAAAAATGGACGGAAGCTGTTAGTCGTACTTATATTCTGTAAACATAACAAAAAGTAATACGTTATTTAGTTTCCATTGTACAAGCTCTACGCTCAATATCAAAAGTTGTAAATAATTGTCTGAGTGGACTAAGTAACCTTTGACTTTACTTTTGGAAAATCAAAAAACTAAAAGTTGATGGTATTGCCATATCGCTTGACTATTCATCATTGTAATAATAGTCTGGTTAACTTTAATAATGTAATAAATATATTTACGCTACAAACTATAAAAACGCATTAACATCATTCTTGATTATACAGTTCTTAATATACCGGAACAATGTTTATCGATTAGACTTCCAGGGTTATTTTATATTTGTAGAAATTTGTAGGAAATATAGGGACTTTTACAATATTTTATAACACATTATTTTATATCTCTTTTTGAAACCCAGAATTTATATCGAGATGCGAAAACAAGCTACATAAATCATTTGATGTAAGTTAGTAACGTCGATTAATTCGACATCAAATATTATTTGACTTTGTTCGACGACCATTCGCTAATATATATTTAGTACCACATAATAGCTGGTACGTAAGCCGTTGACTCCGGTTGCATCTGCAATCGTTAGTACCCACCATAACGCACTGGGCCCGCGTGATTTGTCAGTAGGATTTCAGTACTCCCGGGGCAGAAGATATCAGGTTCTGGCGTGGGATAGGTGGGATAAAATAATTTACGAATAATTAAGTTAAGACGCCAACCGCACTTGATGAAATCCCGCCAAAAACCCACTTTTTTAAGGTACATTCTTCCCTATTGGGAATGGCAAAGGCAAAGCCATGCAGCCATCATCTTAGTTTTTATTTAGTCGCTCGTTTTATTATTTTCCTTCGTAATGTAATTAAGTACCTATAAAGGTTAAAAAAAAACTGAAGTGCCCGTTTTTTTTGAATAGGTTAAATCATTAACTACTTGTCACCATAAGAGGGTCGATTCTGGCATGATTCTCTAAACTTAAAATGAGTCTCTCCTTTTCATTCTATAATGAATCGACACTAATGTTACCTAGTGGTTGGCTAGCTATAACACGGCCAATTGAAGGACTGAAGAACGGGACTGTAAACAGCTTTTTAGTCAGATTATTAGAGGAGCTCGATGACGCAAGTGATTAGCGCTTTTGGCTGTGATCGTTAAAGCTCAGTAACTTTCGCAGTGGTCGGTCATTAGATGCGTTGTCAAAAATGTACTATCTCGAGATCCTCCGTGCTTCGGAAGGAACGTTAAGCCGTTGATCCCGGCTGCATCTGCAGTCGATATCACCCATCAATCTGCAGTGGACCCGCGTGGTGGGACATGGACCAACCTTCCTATCCCGTCCATAGGGAGAATCTGTGCCCTAGCAGTAGGGATCATCCTATTAATGCTGATGATGATGAATCAGATTATTATCGTCCATCTTTATTGTTCTTTAATTTAAGTAAGTTGATAAAGGATTTTAAAATTAGATGAATCCAGAAAACAGAATTAAAATTGCGGTAGTTTACATTTAATATCATTGAAAGATAATAAAAAAATTCGTACCATTAGGCTATTTATTCCAAGTTTATTCTAAGTATACAGCAGCATCGCAAGTGCCAGGCAGTAGACAGAGTGTCATCCTGTGGTATTTGGCGGGATTTCATCGAGTGCAGTTGGCGGTCGGTCAAGTGGATGTGAGAACTTTATGGTAGTGTTGAGTAACTCACTGAAGCTTGTCGAGAAAGCTGACTCGATACATATTGTGCCAAAAAGAAAAATTAATACAAAAATAAGACGATAGCTGCATGGCTTTGCCTTTGTCTTTCCCAATAGGGAAGAATAGAACAAAAAAAAGTGTCATGCTGTCAGTTTGACATAACGTGACGTTGACATTGTAATAGTGGGGTACGAAAATACAAAATAGAACTTAATCACTGAATAAAATATTTTGTCTGCCATTTGAATCAATGTAATAATATACTATGTCACGGTAATGCATATAATCACATTTAACCATGTCTGATGAAACTACAGAGGAACGTCAGGATAATGAACTAGCGGCTTTACAGGTTAGTTGTACTGTTGTTGACTTAAACCCAACAATAACTTGGGAGAAACTTTGTAAAAGGGTGCTTTGCAGTGTTGTAACTGACACCACTTAAGTAGCACATTAACAGATTTCTCCTAATATTTGCTCAAAATGTTAAAAATAATTCAAGTACATAACATATATTTTGGTAATCATCTTAATATCTTTCATCATGCACTTCATTATTTTCACATTATTATGACTACTATATTTAGGAAATCCTATAGACTTTATACCCATGATTTAAGAATTTAAGAGAAAGACTGTCAAACATCAGAGACTCATTCATAATATGGTACATGGTAGCAATCCCATAAATGACATAAATTACTATAAAATCATTTAACATCTCTAAAGACTGCATGGTTGATTGTAATAATATTGTTTATATTCAACAGGCTATTTATGGTGATGATGTAACCGACAACCGACAAAACTTGCCCTGGAAAATATGGAGACCTTTAGATATTATGCTGAAGTTGAATCCACTGCATAACTCAGATTTGAAGGATGTGGATTGCTATATCACCCTGCATATTGAATGCTGTCCACTGTATCCTGATAGGTAAAAGAATCTAAAATTTTAAAGAGCTTTTTAGCATCAAATATTTTATGATTTTATTTATTTTTTAAGCATTTAACTGCTAGATGTTTAAATCTAAGGAAAAGTTTACTAGAAAAAAAACCACGCGGACCAGGCAGCGGATGGGACCAAATATTTTGTCACTTTTATAGTGCCATTCAACCAAACTTATCCATTATTTTATATTTGTTCAAGTTTTTTCGACTTGTATTTGCATAATGAAAACTGCAGTTAGAAGTAATTCATGTCAATATTTTACAAATCCACAGTAGATTTCCCACCAGCTCGGTATTTGAACTTTGTGCTCAAAATGTCCTTATGTTTCTACAAAGTTAGTATTGTTCAACATATATCACTCACATTATCAATTATTATATATCTGAATTAACTAGTATGTTTTTATAATGTTTGCAGAACAAATATATTTTTTTTATATAAATCTCTGTTACTTTTACAGACCGCCAAAAATAGCCATAGACAAAATTCATGGATTGTCCATAGAGAATGGGAATAAATTATTATCAGAACTGGTGACTTTGGCATCTCAGCATTGTGGAGAAGTTATGATCTTCGAATTAGCCCAACATGCTCAGGTATTTTTGTTATATTTATACTTTGCCACACATCCTCCATTGGTTTTTAAAAGAGGTCTGAAGAAGCAACTTGCATGCTGGCAAGGTGCTGCAGCAGCAAATAAAACTGTGGCATCAGCTATCTTTGTGGTTACCATTGAACTTTAAGTGGTGCGGTGACCGATGCATGTCATGATGCATAACATTAATTAATTAATCTCAGATCAACTGATATGTTTGCTTATTATGTATTTACTTATGTAAGCTTTCTCTTCAACTACGTTGATTTATTTTAATTGTTTAACGTATGGTTAAAAAAATATTAAATAGAAATCTGAATTTTTCAGCAATTCCTCCATGATCATCATAAACCAATATTTTCTTTCCATGAAGAAAGGTTGATTCATCAAAAAGAGATGGAACAGCTGAAACAACAAGATTTACAGAGCAAAACAAGTGAGGAGGTGATTAACATAATAATTTAGTTATATTATTTATTTTTTAAGCATTTAACTGCTAGATGTGTAAATCTAAAGAAAATTTCAACAAAAAAAATCCCAATGCGGAACGGGCAGACAGCGCGAAGAATTAATAATCGTTAAAAGAGACCTTTCCAACAAAAAAAAAACAATTTTAAAGATCTAAGCATACATAGGGACAGACAGCGGGAAGCATCTTTCCTTTGTACTATGTAGTGAAAGTATCACCTCTTGGGCCGAGGAAGTACTGTTTAACCCTTTCCTAAAACATTTGTTAAACAAATGTTGTTGTTACTGGACAACAGTCTGTCCTTATCATGCTTTACAAGGAATGAATAGGACAGAATGATGTCAAGTTCACAATCAGCTAACATGAAAAGCCAAGTGAAGTGACTGTATAATGTTATAATGGATAGTTAGTTATACCACAGAGTAGTCTCTTCCAAACAACTTTTGATTATATGCTAATAGCATACTCATTATTAACGCTAGAAATAACTTTACAGCGCCAAAAAATGAAAGATGAGATAGAGAAACGCAAGGAAATGCTCCGTGATGCCGACAAAAGGGTACATCGGTCGAGCACAAGCCAGGAGAATAGCAACCACAGTCACGGCGACGCCCCAGAGCTGGTATAGTAAGTACATTATTTTATAATCTTTCAAACATATAATAGTTGTAACAAGAGTGAAGAGTAGAGGGAGAGTAAGAATAAAGAGTAGAATATTATAAATGTTTGGATGTCTGATACTCAATCACGCAGATATGGGGGAATTCGTTTTGGTACATTGGATAAAATATATATACACATACATATCACATATACATATATGTTTCAATGTAAAGAAAATTTCACCAGCACCCTTCGCTATCCGGACGGATGCCCTGATCTTTATGCTACTGCGGCCCTAATATCCGTGTAGATTTTTCTCTAGTATTTCATAGACTGCAAGGTAGCGCCATCTCTTCGCATTGTACGCAACCCCAAGGTCTGTGTGCATTTATTTCTAGTAAAATTTTCTTTAGATTGAAACGTCATAGATTACAAACTAGTTGGCACCACTCTGTCATCATCGGGTCTTTTTACACAATTGCCCTAATAAAAGAGTGTAATGTATTCAGGGTTCGTGTATTGTAAGTATTAAGGTCCTGATTGGCCATTTTAAACCTAATGTTTAATTTTTGTTCTTAGGTTAAGTTTCTTTTTTATATTTTTTTTTTCCTCTGTTTCTTATACTATGGCCAATAAAGATTTTTCATTTCATAAGTACCCATGTAATGTTTTTTATTTCACCAAAAATTCTAAACGCCTGAACCGATTTAGATGTATATATCACATACATGCAAAACAGTTCAGGCGTTTAGAATTAAAAAAAATCAGCTGATTCATACATTTCGGTCGATTAGCTGATGCACTTTTGTATGAAACAGCAGATATTTTTTCGCGATTTCAACGTTGGTGCCATAATAAAAGTTGTTCCTGTTGATGGGTAGAATCACCCCCTAAGAGGTTGTTGGTGTTTTAAAATTAATCCTGTATATATTCTGGCACGATACTCTAAATAAAACCAAAATTTAACATCAGACAAGGATACACTGTTGCCAAATTGAATTTTAGGTTTAGATAATCATGCACGTGCCGCTAGCATAAGCAACGCGTTTTTATCACGCTCAATTGTCAAATTACTATGCAGTTTGACAGTTGAACGCGATAGAAAATGTGATATAATGTAAATTGTGGTGCTCATGGTACATTGACATCCCCCTAGCATGAGCACCGCGATATGATATCTAACGAGTTTATATCATGCTCAGTTGTCAAATTACTATGGAGTTTGACAGTTAGACGCGATAACGTACGAACGTAACATAATGTAAATAGGGGTGATGACGGCGTACAGTAAACGAAATTCTATTTAGTCCGTCAGTTAGATGATCAAAAAATAATGGACACGTATTTTTTCTTTAGGCAATCAACTAAAAAATGACAAAGTAGCGCGTCAAAGATTGGGAGTAGGGGCTCGTGACGTCACTTTTGAGTGAAAATAGTACTTGTTTAATTGTAAAACGTGACGTCATGCGAATTTTCAAATCAATATACCTCTGCAATGTTTATATTATGTGAAAAAAGAAAAAAAACGTGTCCAATACTTTTTGATAATCTACCTGATAAAGGAAGGAAAAAAATTAGTCATCATCCCTATTGTGGTGTTTAAGCTATGGGAGCAGAATTTGACATCACTTGGATGTAATAATACAAATCAGACTTAATTATCCGGTTCAATTATGGGTATTTTTCGTAGTTACGCAGACATTAAATTGTCACCAACGAAGAAGACGCACAGAATCAAAACGCAAGCTGTGTGCACGTGCAACTTGAAGCGATTGCAAGTGCTCAGGATCGCGCAAAGAAACAACAGAAAAGTCTACATCGGCAACTGTTTAGGTAAAATCTAATATAATACTTTTTTTTTAAGCATGTAACTGCTCGATGTTTTCAAATTCCACGGGTGTGGGTTACCTACAATGCGAAGAGATGACGCTGCCTTGCAGCTTAAGAAAGGCTAGAAAAATTCAACACGTCCATCAGGGCCGCGGTAGCATAATGGTCAGTGCATTCGCCCGGATAGCGAAGGGTGCGGGTTCGAGCCCCGTCTGCTGCCTGCTTCGCGTGGATTTTTTTCTAATAATATTTTTTCGACATACGGAGCCGAGACGTGGACACTGACGGTACGCCTGGTCCACAGGTTCAAAGTCGCTCAGCGCGCTATGGAAAGGGCTATGCTCGGCGTTTCTCTGAAAGATCGCATCAGAAATGAGGTAATCCGACAGAGAACCAGAGTTATCGACATAGCCCACCGGATTAGCAAGTTGAAGTGGCAGTGGGCTGGCCATATTTGCCGAAGAACCGATAACCGTTGGGGTAGACGAGTTCTGGATTGGAGACCGCGTCTAGGCAAACGTAGTGTAGGACGTCCTCAGGCACGATGGAGTGACGATTTGCGCAAGGTGGCTGGCAGGAGCTGGATGCGAGTAGCCCAAGATCGATCTGAGTGGCGTGCATTTGGAGAGGCCTATGTCCAGCAGTGGACTATGATGGGCTGTTCATGAATATTTTTTCTGTTATAAATCTAAAAGTTGTAACAAGAGTGAAGAGTAGAGGGCGAGGAAGAATAAAGAGTAGAATATTATAAATGTTTGGATGTCTCATACTCAATCACGCAGATATGGGCAGAATTCGTTTTGGTACATTTGATAAAATTTTACATTTTGCAGTTACCATAAAACTAAGTTTCAGGATTTAATTTTATGTCCTTGTCGATGTGCCTAATATATTTTATATCCCTGCAAATTATCTCTTATCTATTAGACAAGTCCGTCCGTCCGTCTGTCTGTGGTGCTGTTTCAGCGGCCAAACCGTAAGAGATAGATAAAGAGAATGTTAAAGTTATAAGTTAAGAATAGTCTGATAAGACTACAAACCGGATTTGAGTAACGTAGCACTTCCGGTTTTCGAGAAATCACGAATTTCAAACGAAACCACACAAAATCTCCGAAGTTCTCAATTAATTAAATACATTTTTTTTAAATCAGGTTTTGGTGAACATTTGGTTCACTGGTTTGCTAGTACGTTTCTAATAATAAGAATCCCTGAGCTGTTGACGAAAGAACCGCTACGGCGAAACTTTGAGTCCCTTGTTCACTATGGAATCCTAAAACTCGTTTTAATTGAAACAATGATGTCGATTCTGGTATGATTCTCTAAATCTAAACTTAAATTTGACAACAGTGTATCCTTGTCATTCTCTATACACCATGAAAAGGAGAGACTGACGTTAAAATTAGTTTTTAAGTTTAGAGAATCACACCAGAATCGACACCACTGTATATGTATGGTATGACTAGAAAGCGTAGGCTAGAAAAGTATCCACTCATGGGGTAGACGATACTTTATTAAGTCTGGCCTAACAATCTTAATAAAATCAATATATCGCATAATTTACCACTTTTAACCAACAGGGCATTCATCCAATGGTGCTACCACTTACCTAGCGATAGACGAAACGGGTGAACGACTGATCGCAAAGAAATGGACCATATCCGCAGTATCAGACTTTCAAACGATTCAGCATTACCATCAGATCAAGAACATCATACAGCAAGAGCTCAACATCTTATCCCGATTAAAACACCAATCTCTAGTGCCATATATGTACATGGAAACAGTGAAGGAAACCAAAAGACCTGAAAAGCAATCGTACTATGTGTTCAGAGATTTTGTTAACGGATGTTCGTTGAAATATCTTTTGAGTTTGTGTAAATTCAGTGATAAGTTTGAAGCGTTGAAACTGTTGAGGACAGTGGGTGTGGGGGTTTTTGAGGCTTTGAAGGAGCTACACAGTGTAAGTGTTATGCATAGAGATTTGAGGAGCGAAAACGTGTTTGTGGACGTTTCTGGGGTAGTCAAGTTGGTCGGTGCCGGATTAGATGCGAGGCTGGCTGAGATTCACGAAGGCGATAGCTATTGTAACAGGTGAGTCACAATAATCAAGATGAACTCTGATTGGTAGCTTGGATTAGCACCAACGAATTAGAAATGATATGGAAGCAAAAGCTCTTTAACAAAGGCCGCTAAAAGATCCTTTCAAACTCAGGCAGATAAACTTCAATATTAACGCAACACGCACACATTTAACAAAACGCTTTGACAAATCAAATATCTGCAAATAAATTCGGCGATTGCCTTTGGCCGTTCATTGGGTAAGATAATGTTAAACGGAAATCCCAGCCAATCTCATGTTTGGTAGGTTGATCGCATTTTTACGCCCCGCCCACTCGTTGGCAGTTAGCGTAGCACCACTTCATAGCACAGTTCCTATTCCATATTATTTGTAATGCCTTGATAAGCACTTACAAATTCATGGACATTTGTTTATATATGTATTAGATTTGAATTATATACAAGAGGTAGGATCACTATTGTAAAATTAACTTGCTGTCAATATGTAATTGATAAGGAGAACCTTCTTACACAAATTATTTGTCAAATATACTTTTTTCTAAGGCAATAAAACTATCCACTCATATAATATTATAGTAATAGATAACCTAGTTTTTTTTATAAATGTCCGTTTTCAGTAACCTTTGACTATTTCATTTGCATCATAGACCTCTAAATTGTGTTGTTTACGTTGTCTTAAATGAAAATATAAAACAATCTATTTTCTATAGTTATACAATTTCTTACATTTTAAATGAAAAACAAAGTAAAATAATCGTCATCATAATTTCCCCCCTTTTTGGTAATGAAATAAATATTATTTATTTTCATTTATTATTATTATTATTTACAGACAAACTCAGGCGCAGGATATCTGCGCAGCAGCGCAACTACTTCTATCCATCCTTAGCCATGAAGGAACCATACACGAAGTTCCAACAGACCTACCAGGCACAGCCAAAGATTTTTTCTCAAGGTATCATCATCAACAGCCTAATGTTCCCACTGCTGGGGCACAGGCCTTCCCTATGGATGGAATAGAGAGATTGGGCCATGACCCACCACGCGGGCCCAGTGCGGATTGGCCGGTGCTAACGACTGCGGATGCAGCTGGGACCAACGGCTTAACGTGCCTTCCGAAGCACGGAGGAGCTCGAGATAGTCATTTTTGGTCACCCATCCAATGACCGACCACTGCGAAAGTTGCTTAAGTAACGATTGCAGTCGAACGCGCTAACCTCTTGCGCCATCGAGCTCCTCTCTCAAGGTATAGAAATTTATGTGTCATTATTACCTTTGCCTTTTTTATGTGAGGAAAATACGTGACGCATACCCCGCCTCCTGACAGCACCGACGATCTTATGTGAATTTATGAATACCGTTTGATAAAAAAATCTCAAACAATAAATTATTATTTATTGTTTGAGATTTTTGAGACTATCCAGATTTCAATGAAACTGCAAACTTTGTAATAAGAATTTGCAACTGCAACTGCCAATTCTATTGATTTAAGATTATTTTACTACTTCAAGGAATGAGGATCATTTGGAAGCCAACAGCTCATCTCAAAACTTTAAATCATCAAAATCGGCCCATCTGTTGCGATTTTATAACTCATTCTATAAATAAAACTAGCTTTAACGGGTTAATGCACAAACTTTATTCATTTATTGACGTTTCGCAGCCTTTTCAGGTCTGTATTATCAGAATAATGTTTTTTTATTTATTTTTTATTTACTTTGTCAAGCTACCTTTGAAAGACTTTTATTGAGCGTTCGGATATTTCATATCATTATCATTCTATAAAGCCAATATTTATCATTTTTGCGATTTTTTATAACACACGTGCTACGCCCCGTTCTCTGTATCTATTATTGATTTTTTATAGATGTTTAACCGATGACGAACATTCCCAATGGACGGCGGAACAGTTGGTGAACCACATATTCCTCGTGGATCAGCCAGTCCAACAATCTAGCAGCAAACAGAAGGACGAAGGCAGCGGCTCCGAGGTTAGATTATTTCTGGCATTCATAAAATGATAGCATATTCATACCCATAAATAAAGTAATAATCACATCACATACTTTGTGCCGGTCCCATAATAAGTTTCTGAAGTACTTGTGATAAGCACTTGTTACCGTTTTTTGTCTCACCAGACGGCGCCACTGTTGAGTGAGATCCTGAAGTGTAGATTTTAAAGTTGGTTAATACGCGCGTGAAATCAAAGTTTACAATAAAATCATATTTTAATACAAAATAACCGTATCGTAAACATTATCGGCGATGCCACAGTGTTGTGCAGTTCCGTTTTTCTTATCGCTTTTAAATCACTGAGATTCTTTGACACCATAGTCATATTAGCTTTAATTAATCTGAGTTATTACTAAATATGCACAACATTATTTTAATTAGAAATAAACTAGCGTAGTCAACCCACAAGCAATAACATTTGACGTTTCGGAGACCTTACGCTACACAAGCGCCTCTAGCGGCAGATTCATACGCAATAGCCCTGGTTGACACGAAGCAAGCGAAAGAATAGCGGGATCTGTGTGTGTAGTTCCGATAGTTTTATCGCAGGGCTATAAGCGTCTGTGCAAGTATGATCACTCATTCCACTCGCTCGCGGGTCAGGGTCCTGAGCAAAAATGCACGCTTATTCGTTTTGACGACTAAGCGAGTATTATCTTAGATATTTCTTGTCGCTCGGCGACAAACTAGTGGAGCAAGTTCTCGCCGATGTGAGAACAATCAGCGATCAACTATTATTATATGCATCTCCTTTGTTGGCATGGAATGACCATCAGTTGTACGATTCTTTTTTTTTATGGATAGATCCGACAAATGACTCCACCCCACCTGATGTTAAGTGATGGTGAAGTCCAGACGTGAAGATAGCTGGTACAGCAGTTCTACCTGCCACACCAGCCATCCTCACCTTGCCGGCCTACATGTTGCTTCTTCACGCTTCTTTTAAAGGATCCCAGGTTGTAAGAAGGAGGGAACCCGTGAGCAGGCAGAGCATTCCATTTACGGATAGTGCGACAAAGAAATGAGTCACCAAATTTCTTTGTACGCGTTGGAATTGTGGCCACAGTTAGACGGTGACACCAGCGCGTGTGGTCCTCTGAAGGAAAGGGGAAGGTGGAATAAGAGAGAATAACTCTTAAGAACACTCGCCGTGGTACAGACGAGAAATTTCTTGAGCGAGAAAGTAGCTGATAGTTCGTCGCTTCCTCGCCGGCAAAGAGACAACTGCCTTATGGAAAACAGATTGCAAAAAGGTTCAGTCTGCAAAAAGTCGAGTTTCAATTTTGAAGTTCTTTTCGGGCGGGGTGTAAATGGAAAAATTCTAGGGAAAAAATAAAACGGAAATGCGTCACGAGTGTCACGCGCAACAATTTATATATACACATAACCATAAAGAATAACCATAATTTTACAGGCCGACAGGGTGAGGATGGCTGGTGTGGCAGGTAGAACTGCTATATCAGCTATCTTCGCGTCTGGACTTCACCTTCACTTAACATCAGGTGGATTTCACTTAACATAATTTGTCGGACCTATCTATAAAAAATAAAAAAAAAGTATATGAGTGATACGTGCGCTGCTACCCATATGCCTTATGCACCTTCTAATGTTAGGTTATTTTAGAAAAGAAGTTTCGCTTCAGATGGTCCGTGCAGTTTTTTTTATTCCTTAGTAAAAATATATTTTTAAGTATAAGTAAAAATTATATCGTTTCTTCAATACTGCTCAGGATTGAGTAAAATCCTTACAGATATAATAACAAATAGACTAGTTACTTTTGCATGATACATAGAACGGAGTCGCAGGCATCCACTAGAATTGGTGGATGCCTGCGACTCCGTCCTATGTATATTAATCGATTTCACATATAAAATTATCTCCTTATTCCTGTTTTATGACAAAATGTAACCTATGGTCTTAGTCGTAGCGCCAAATTCATCAAAATCAATTAAGTGGATTAGGCATGAAAGCGCAAAAGATTAAACAAAATTACTTTTGCATTTATTATTTCACTATAGTTTGGTGTATTTTTTGAAGGATGATGAGCAGGTGAAGAAGATTTATAACATCAGCCCTCCGACGGATGGTCATTCGAGGTTAAAGGTTGAATTCGAAGTCCTCACTTGGCTCGGAAAAGGTGCCTTCGGTGATGTCGTTAAGGTACTTATTCTCTCTTCATTTTTTGAGTTTTGTCCTAAAAATCTCATCGGCAGCCATACAACAAACAGAAGATCTAATTTTATTTTGATATTTTTACTTTAAATGTACCGTACGTTTAAGTAAAGTATAACCCGATTTTATTCCTTTTTTTATCACCGAAAGACTAAGAAAGAAAGACACGTAAGGTTTTCACCAAATTTATACAAGACCATCTCGACAAAACTCTGATCTAAATAAAAGTTCATCTAAATTAAGAGCTATGAACGATCTGGTAACTTGTCTGATATGAAGTCAAGGTGTGCGTGAGTGCGTGCGTGCGTGCATGCGTGCGTGCATGCGTGCGTGCGTGCGTGCGTGCGTGCGTGCGTGCGTGCGTGCGTGCGTGCGTGCATACGTGTGTGTGCGTGTAACGTTGGAGGGTAACTCAGCGAAGGCTAAAACGCTACGAGCGTCACTCGCTATTATATATATCATATATCATCACTCATATGTATGATATACATATAGTTTATATATATTTTGTTACGTGTCGGGATGGGGTTCGAAATTATATGCCAGTTCACGCTTGACAGTTCTTTATTCACCACACAATTAACACATAATGTAAATTACAAAACACTCAATAAACACTGTATTTCACTATACAAGTCTCTAAACAATCGCACTTGAACACTTTTGTTCAGATGTCGTCGCACTTTCTCCCTTACGCCGCACTGTATAAGGCTCTTTTTAGAATGATCCGCATTACTTGACGTCTTCACCTATCACTTTCGCGGTTACGTTTCGAGAGCATTTGTGACAGTAAAATATATATGATATATATGACATATATACAGCGTACGCATCACTTGCACCACCTAATGTTAGGTTATTGGTTATTTAAGAAAAGAAGTTTCATTTCAGATGTGTGGTCCGTGCACACGAATAGGGTATTTGACAAGTTTTAGAAAACGATCTCACGTCATTGAATAACGTTTATTGAGTCCGTTAAAAGATATTCATCATTCTGTTGTGTATTTCAGTGAAAATAACCAAACCAAAAACTCCATTTTCAAGTTACCGCGAAAACGTTTCTCTGGACAATATGGCGTTTTACTAGTGTGTGACGTCACACGACTGTTATGAAAACGTCAAACGATACAATGTAATGTCATTTTAACCGGAAGTTTCCCAAGCGTTTTGGGTCACGTGAAAAGAAAAAGAAAACTATTATCTTTTTCGTTAGTTTTTAGTAAAATCATGAATATTTTTTTTTGTAAAATAGTAAAAACCCCTGTCAATATTCATTCTAAACACAGATGCTAACAATTGGTACTTTATTTTTAACACTGTCAAATACCCTGTTTTTATTTCCCTGTAGTTTTCTTTATAATGTTCGAATAAACATTAGCCTTATTATCTCCATTTAAACAGGTCAGAAACAAACTGGACGACGGTTTCTACGCCATAAAACGGATCAAACTTAACCCCGAGAGCGTCCAACTAAACAAGAAGATCACTAGAGAAGTCAAACTGCTCTCCCGTCTAAATCATGAGAACGTGGTGCGATATTATAACGCGTGGATAGAATCTACCCTGGAAGCACCAGAGAACGAAGAATCCAGCACTGTGAAGTCACCAACGAAGTATGATTTTTCATTTATTTTTATCTTTATTCAATATAACAATATAATTTTGTGTTGGAAGTACTTCAGATAAATTTATAAATTTTCTTACTTTAATAAATAAAATTAAATATATAAAAAACAAAATAATCTGTCCAAGAACTAAAAATATAAATGTCAAATAATTTAAAATATAATCTGTATAATAATAATCGATAACACTAGATAATTATTCCTATGATAAAATTAGAAATTTTGAACTATCGTAAAAAAAATGATTCAAAAAAATATAATAATAATCTGACGAATTACTAAAAATATCAATGTCAGTAATAAAAAATCAATTTGTATAAATAATGTAAAATCAAAATGTCAAACTTGTAACACCTAGGTGTGTAACAAATTCCTCGACACTATAAATTGTATTTTTTCAACAAGACGGTTTTCAAAAGATTACTAAAAAAATTAATTTGTGCAATTGATATCATTTTCGTTTATTAGTTTATTTGAGGAGCTCGATAGCGCAGGTGGTTAGCGCATTCGCGGCCTGTGATCGTGGAAGTTAAGGCGACTTTCTCTATGGCCGGTCGTTGGATAGGTGACTGAAACTTATTATCTCGAGCTTCTCCATGCTTCGCAAGACACGTTAAGCCGTTTGTCCCGGCTGCATGTGCTGTCGTTAGCAAAAGCACCAGAGAACGAAGAATCCAGTACTGTGAAGTCACCAACGTAGTGTAAATATGATTTTTCATTCATTTGTTTATTTGAGGAGCTCGATGGCGCAGGTGGCTAGCGCTTTCGGCCTGTGATCGTACTTTTAGGCGTAAAATAATTAGCTTTGTAACTTTAATGAAAGTTATGAAAATGTTGATCCAAAGTGAAAAATTTACGTTCGGTGAATTAATTCTTAAATTTTCAACATTGAATTAAAAAACAGGTGACTTTATGGTTCCTAAGTAGCCCTTAAGAATGCGCCACACACTCAGCTTTCATAATCACTAAAAAAGATAGTACTAACTATTACGCTAAAATCGGTCTACTTTCGCTAAAATCTGGCTTCAAAGACAGCGAGATGGAAAATTCTTAAAATTAGGTAATTTCATCATTCCTAAGTTTAATTAGTTCAGTTTCATAAGTTGAATCATTAAAAGGCTGCGTTTGTGTGCGTGCGTTTACAGTCGACATACATTTAGTGATGACCTTTAAACGCTAATTTTTGTTACTTAAAATAATGTTACTTGGGATGGGAATAAGAAATAATGTTTAAAATTGGTTTCCGTAGAAGTCTGAAACAAAAAGTTTTGACTTTGACCTCCAGTAGCCCGACCGGTATACCTGGGAATTAATAGCTACGAACCATTACCAGGACAACAAAAATAATAATGGGTGAAATACGTTGTTTTCTTCTATGTCAAAGGTCTTTCTACACCCTGTATAAAAATGATGTCAATATAACCATTAAGCTTTGTCCCAAGGAAGAAACCCGGCGATAGCCTAGAACAAGTCGTTGCCAAATTAGGCGAAGTGAAAGTGGAATGGTCTATATCAGAGAACGTAACCCAAGCCCGATCGTCGGACAGCGAGGATGATGATGAAGAAGAAGATGATGATGATGACGACGACTACGACGATGATGATGAGCAGTTATATGTTAAAAGGGTCAGATCCATCATGGGGTAAGATTTTTTTATAATAGGTCAGATCTTTGTATTGTAAAAGGCGCAGATATTAACCCTGCCAATATTAGCCCTGAAGATGATAATGGCGACTACAATGATGATGAGGAGCAGTTATATGTCAAAAGAGTCAGATTCATCAATGAGTAAGGGGCCGTCCATAAATTACGTCATCGATTTTTTCAGATTTTAGACCCCCCCCCCCCTACAATCATCCTATCGTCATTTCTTAATGACCCCCCCCCCCCCCCTCCTCCCAAAATTGACGTCATTACCAGTTTGACAAAATTAAAACATTGCAGATTTGATAAAAGCTAGTATTATATGTAATATTATTGTTAGAGTATTTTATCTGTAGTTATTACTGTATTTGTGTACATCTATGTTGCATTATGTATGTTTATTATGAGTTATTTTAGTATTGTACGCGCCTTAGCCGCCTCTCACATTTGCAGTCCCCAGCCCCTATCTATCATTTACCAAGACCAACCCCCCCCCCCCCCCCCCTAATTTGAATGACGCAATATATGGACGGCCCCTAAGTGACTTTTATTAAAAGGTCACATCTTTTTATCGGACTACGCACGTAAAACGCGGGCGTGATGCGCAGAGAGGGAATTGTGTTTAACAGTCTATATTTAATACAAGGTACAGATATTAGTCCCACCCTATCTTATGTTAAATGTAAATTCATGGAAATATTAAAATTAATGAATTAATCTATTAATAGATATAATTTTAGTCTTTTGCACCAATCACTGTGTAGCTAGTCCCAGCTTATTTATCGTGTCAACTTGAATAAAGTTTATTTTATTTCATTTTAATTTTATTCACCATTTCAGACCAGATGAGTCGAGCAGCGGCATAGAGTTCGAAGGTGGCTCCAATCAATCAGAGACAATACCTTCAGAAGACGTCCCCGATACTCCAAGACCACAATCGGGCCGCTTACACCAAGTGTTATTCATACAAATGGAGTTCTGCGAGAAACATACCCTTCGTCAAGCCATAGATAGCGGATTGTACCAAGAACATTTTAGGGCTTGGAGGCTTTTCAGAGAAATTGTGGAAGGATTAGCCCATGTTCACCAAAAGGGAATGATACACAGAGATCTGAAGCCGGTCAACATATTTTTAGACTCCAATGACCATGTCAAGATTGGCGATTTTGGCTTGGCGACGAAGGCTTTGGGACTACCGGTTGATGGTAAGTTATTGGGTTTTTTAATTATCATCATCAGCCCAGCAGCCTATTAATACTGGGGCACAGGCCTTCCCTATGGATGGAATAGGGAGATTCGGCCGTGACCCACCACGCGGGTCCAGTGTGGATTGGTGGGTGCTAATGATAGCAGATGCAGCCAGGACTAACAGCTTTACGTGCATTCCGAAGCACGGAGGGAATCGAGATGATAAGTTTTGGTCACCCATCCAATGATCGACCACTGCGAAAGTTGCTTGACTTTCACGATCGCAGGCCGATCACCGACCACCTGCGCCATCGAGCTCCTCTGTTTTTTTTGTATGAGAACAGGGTAGACGGGCCATGACATACTACGCGGGCCCAGTGCAGATTAGTGGGTGCTAACGAATAAGGATAGATATAATGATATAAGTTTATTCAACAATTAAAACATTTAAATTTTCATTTAATATATGCCCATTTTAGTATCAAAATTAAGATAGGTATTATTTTACTTTCCTTTAGAAAAAGCCAAGCAACAAGAAGAAATCGGAGGATCTCTTACTGGTCAAGTAAGTGTTTTCTTCATCTCTTTAGGCTGTTTCCTTTTTACTCTTTTACAAAACAGTATTAAATTCTGTAAATGTCATTACTTAGAAACATTTTACTTTATAATTTAAATATATTTTAAGTAACTTCCACAAAATTTGAATATTTATTCTCTATAAATGAAAATATAAATTATGGATTCTAATTAACAGATATATATGTTTGTTGTAAATCTCTAAATATAGATAAAATTATTGTTCGTTTCCATTGTATGCAGCACACAAATTTATATAGTAGCATTAAGCTGCGTATTCATTAGGCAGCATATGTTTATTAACACTGTTTATAAACAGTGTTTCATAATGTTGCATCACCTCCGTATACAGTTTAGAAACAGTTTATAAACAAAGGTGATGACACATTGTTTCAGATACATGTGTTTTCCACTCTTAAGGGAGAACAAGAGGATACATCTAGTATATACAAAAGTTGTCCAGCGTATGTATATTGTTTATATAAACATGGAAGTAGTGTGGTCTAATGACCAAGTTTCGATAATCATAGAGCTACGATTATTGGTACTCTCATGAATTACTACAGAAGCTGCACAGCAACACTTACCTCCTCGGGCGATATCCTAGCAACCACTGTCAAGTGTGGACGGCCGACTGACAAGTACAACAAACAGTCTTTACGGTAAACTTGTTTATAAACAAGGTGTCAACTTCGTAAACAGTTTAGAAACAAATGTTGCCTAATGAATACTCTGCTTTATTTCACTTTAAACTGTGTGACGCACGGACAGAACCTCAGATACCTTGCTTCAAGAGCTAAAGCACTGATATTTCAATTATTATAATTACATAATATATTTTTTTAGCTTATATTTTTATAAATGTTTATTTACAGGTCGGCACAGCTCTGTATGTAGCCCCAGAGCTCCTACAATCAGTAGGCAAGGTGATATACAACCAGAAAGTGGACATTTACTCCCTCGGCATAATTCTCTTCGAAATGTTCCACCCGCCGATCAGTACTGGCACAGAGAGGATCGTGGTGCTGACAGACTTGAGGAGCAAGGACATCATTATGCCCAAATCTTTTGAGACAGAAGAGAATGCTAAACAAATACATGTCATCAAGTAAGTTTTAGGGCCAATTGCACCAACATTATTAATTCATGTTAAGGTTCAATTCCGTTTTACCAACACATAATTCCATCTTTGTCAATTGTTTTAAGTAAAATGAGGTGGTCAGCGCAAAAGTGGCCTAACGCTCAATTATTTATATTCTGATTAAGCGGCTTAGGCTACTTATCATGTTTACGTTGAGAGAAAAAAATCAATGCAAAAATAACTTTTGCAACGCCATCTATTGACGTCTGAATTGAATGACGATTTTCAATTAAATTTTAACACATTTTTATTATTTAATCGTAGAAGATGAATCAAAATATGAATAATTGAGGGTTAGGCCACTTTTGCGCTGACAGCCTCAAATAGGTATAGAATAAGCCTTAAACATGAATTTGATTTAAGTAGGTACTTAATATATGCAGCTTGTATTGATTAAGTACATACAGCCGTAGATCAAGCTATACAAATCTTTCGAATTTCTCCAAATAACTTTGAACATTATTTCGTTTGATATAAGATTCATAATATTATCAAAGAAAAAGTCAGTTACTGGTAATTTGGCGTGTGTAGCTGTACATCGACTATAAGTGATTATTGATATTGCCGACACAGTGAATTGTAATTTTAATGGACTTCACTGTTTTATAGAATTATTAATGTAATTATTGGGGAATAACGTCTGAAAATACAACCGAGTCCAATGGCACTACGTACCCTATAAAGCACGGAAGAGCTCAAGATAGTTAATTTTTGGTTACCCAACCAATAGCATGAGGAGCTCGATGGCGCAAGTGCTTAGCGCGTTCAGCTGCGATCGTTGAAGTTAAGCAACTTTCTCAGTGGTCGGTCACTGGATGGGTAACCAAAAATTTACTATCTCGAGCTCCTCCGTGCTTCGGAAGCCACGTTAAGCCGTCGGTCCCGGCTGCACCTGCAGTCTTTAGCACCTACCAATTGACTGGGCCCGCGTGGTGGGCCATGGCTCAATCTCCCTATTCCATCCATAAGGAAGGCCTGTGCCCCAGCAGTGGGGACATTAATAGGCAGATGATGATGATGATGATGAACCAATAGCATCGCGAAACTTTGTCAACCTCCTGAAGGATGAACATGATAATTACCTGCGCTATCGGTCTTCTCAAAGACCACACACATTTCGCAAAAAGACAATTTGCTATGACTGATTTTTTGATAAAGTCCGTAAAATTAAATTAATTACGCGTGTTTTTTTTCTTGCAGATGGTTACTGAATCACAATGCTAGCCTTAGGCCGACTTGTGTAGAACTTTTAGCAAGCGAGCATGTACCGAGGCCTGTCCCAGAAGGAGCCTTATCCGGATTATTAGCTCATACGCTCAATGAGCGAAAGGCTAGGTAATTTGTTTATTGAATGTTATTATTAATAATAATGAATATTTCTAATACACACCAATTAGCCTAGCACCAAAGTTACTAAGATTTAAATGCAGTTCGTACAATATTTACTAAATTTATTAAGCGCGCTCATCGAATTCTGTGTATATCTACTTCGCGCCATAAGTCACATCAATTTGCTCTTCCAAGTCCCTATGTACTGCTTTTTTTTGTTTTTTTGTTATTTTGTGTAATGCTAGAGTACTTCATATGGCTATTCGCATTAGCTATTTCAAATTTGACAGTGCAGTCTACCTTTTTTTCACTATACAGCATGATAATAGAGCGATTACACGTGGTCGTTAGCCCAAATACGAGTGCCAATGGAATTTGGGTAAACGACTATGGGTAAATAAACGGAGTCGAGTACGTCCCTATTCGGGTAGATATCCTTTTGTTTACACGACACCGTCTTCCAGTGTAAATATTGCTTCGGGTACCCGAATTCCAGTAATGTCTTTCGTACGCCCGAATACGGACTAACGACCAAATGTAATTGCGCCATAAGGATATACTGCTGTCATTTGATGCCGGCATTCCACGTGGCTATTTGTATTTGCTATTTGCAAATTTGAGAACAGACTCCTTTTCATTCTCTATACCATGGAGGTTAGAGAGAACGATCGCTACGTACTAAAGCATTAGCCCGCCTGTCCCTGAAAATTTGTAGAATTTATAGTTCAATTTTCAGCCACCAGCCGCGCTGCCGTCGGTAAGTAGTATCTGTGAAGTTAGCTGTTTATGAGCACAAGTAGATGAAGTTAGTTGAATATTGTACAAATTTTCTTCGCGGCATTGGTCATTTAAAATTAGCCCGCTTTTATTGAGACAACTTAGCGATCGCAGCGCCTCACTTATTTTGTCCATATTTCTGGGATACTATTTTCTACAGCGATCGTTCTCATTATCTCTAACCTCCATGCTCTATACAGTATAATAAAGATATACAGTTATCATTTAACGTTAGGCAGATAGGAATAGCTTAGTACAGCATAATGATGGAAGAGCAATGGAACAATTATTTCATATTTTTTGTTCTTTCCTCTTAAAAATCTCTACACATAAAATTCAAGTAACAACTTGAAACTTGAACTGTAAGGGCTTATCAGCGCCTCATCGCGGCGTGCTTAGACCAAAGGCTGTCCGTGGCAGAAGACATCACGTACCACGGTGAAGTCAAGACCAAACCTATGGATGTATTGGAGTCGCTCAAGGATATTGTCGTTAGGGTGAGTTAATTTTTTTGCATACATATGGGTTATTGGTGCTCCCTACTCAATCTATGGGGAAGGCCTGTGTCCCAGCAGTGGTTCATTAATAAACTGATGATGATATGGGCTATTGGAACCAAGTTCGCTTTCGGACGGTACGGACTTGGCGGATGGGGGTTGAGTGAAAAAAAATTCAAGATTTTTCCGTCACAACCGTCAGTTGTTTCGTAGCATATTGTGTGTTATAATTTTGATTAATAAGGCGCTGCTTTATTTAGTAATCCACGCTGGGCCTTCGTGGTGGGTCACGGCCCAATGTCCCTATTCCATCCACAGGGAAGGCCTCTGGCCCAGCAGTGGGGATATTAATTGGTTGATAAGGATATGATTATTAGTTATTATTATAACACTCACGTTAGCTTTTTTTGTCATAGGAGCCGTAGTTAATATATAATAAAAAAAAGCGGCCAAGTGCGAGACGGACTCGCCCATGAAGGGTTCCGTAGCAGAAAGTAATATAATATAAAAGTACTTTTAGTTCGTTATAACTTTGATCGATATTTTAATAATAGTGTATTTTTTATTGGTTATTAATTATTAAAAAAAACTACTTACTAGATCTCGTTCAAGCCAATTTTAGGCGGAAGTTTGCATGGTAATGTACATCATATATTTTTTTTTAGTTTTATCATTCTCTTATTTTAGAAGTTACATTTAATACCATATTGACCCGAAGCTTCGTCGCGCAGGGGTAGGGGAAGCATCAGTCGAAGTTAGACGCCGAAATAACAATTATGATCGCGGGCGGGGTAGCTCGTTCACATTACCCCAGTTCGGTCGTTCTGCTGGCCGCTTCCAGTGACAAACGCCCCGGTAATTATGCCGGTAAAACTTTAATAGATTTATATAGATAAAATTGTACAGTCACTAGCCTCTCCGGCCGGCAAATCCTCCGGATTGGCATATGGGACCCCGCCAACGAAATTAAAATCGTGGCCGAAACCTGTCCAAAAGCTACAGTACACGGAGCTCTGTGGGATGATCGTTTAGTCAATATAAGGCCTTATTTAAACATTAAAAGTTAATGCGTAATAGTATATAGGGTCTTAATTTATGTGTCAAAGAGTTATGATATTTCGAAATGCAAGCTTGTAAAATTTTTCGACTTGTCGCTCTAGGTGGAAAAATATAGATTTTATTTCTATTTTATGAAGTATTTCTGAATGCTGCGTAACCAACCATGCATTAATTGAATATCACAAATATTATCTAATAAACGAGCTTAAAATAATTATTAGAGCAAAATTTGCTTCAACTGCTTTAAATTTACAAATATTGATTAGATATGTGTCGGAAAAAACGACACTCTTCTTCCTATTAATCTTTTGTTCGTATTTTTTTACGGAGCTCTGCGGCATCTTGACTTTTCAACGATCCGCGCGTGATCCTAAACCAAGAAGTTCTGTGGTGTTCTAGTGCTTCTTGATATATGATATACATTTTGAGCGCATGTGTTTCGTCTAGGGTTTTTATTATCGTTAAACCGCGGACTAAGAATCTAATATTTTATTGAAATGAAAATTAATTTATTCAGTCTAGGCTGTTACAAGCACTTGTGAAGGTCAAGAAGCTACGCCATCGGTTCGCAAAACTAAGGCGGGAGACCTTGTACTGAGAAGAACCGGCAAGAAACTCAGCAAGGGCTGTTTTTTCTCCCTGTATTGATACAGAGTCGTCAAGTTGAAAAATGACTTCAGAGATACTTCTGAAGTAACCTTCCATTACATTATTTAGGATATAGATATATAGTAACAATAAATTTTATATTTAGTATATAGGAAGCGGCATTAGATAGGTACCATATTACTGTTACAAAAACTGACTCATACTCATCAAATAACAAATTACAAGAAACACTATGTCCATGCATTACGATCATTTAGATAATCATTAACTTTATAATAGCCCTTATTCATAAGAGTATTCTTATTAGGTATTCAAAAGCCACGGTGCCAAAGAATTCTGCCCGCCGCTGTTGATGCCTCGCTCCAAGTGCTGGGACCAACATCCGAACGCGGTCAAAGTGATGACCGCTTCGGGCGCGGTATGCCACTTACCTCACGACCTTAGGCTGCCGTTTGCCAGGTAATTTTCTCAACGCTCTTAATTATAGCTTTTGATTCTCAAGAATAAGGTAGTTTTTTTACGTAGATAAATAATCATTTATTAAACCTTCCGTAAAGACTACTGTGGCACTCATTGATTGATGTTAGGAGGCTCGATGCGGCAGTTGTTTAGCGCGCTGTTTGTGATTCAGGAAGTTAAGCCACTTTCGCAATGGTTGATCATTGCAGGTGGCCGAAAACTTATAATCTCGAGCTCTTCCATCCTTCCAGAAGTTAAGCCGTTGGTCCCGGTTGCATGAGCAGCAGAGCAGTGGGTGTTAACCCACCAATCGTGCTTAGTAGGCGTGGTGGGTCACGGCCCCTTCTCTCTATGCCATCCGTAGGGAAGGCTCCAGCGGGTCAATTATGCTTTAGTGATATAATTCTAATGTGATGTCAATATGATGTTGATGTCAAGTTGACAGTGCTTTTAAACGGTATTATGAAACATTCCTATGTCACATCAAGATCATATCAATATCATAGCCTATATCACATTTTTGACGTTTATGCAATACTGTTTTAAGTCAAAAATTTGAACGTAATACGCATTTAAGTTGATATCATTTTAAAGAGTTGATCATAATACGCATAAGTTGATGTCTAGTTAATGTCATTTTGATATCGCATTTTTGGGAGAGCATAATAAACGTAATGTGAAATTGACATCAAAACAATATCACAATTAGCGAGCATAATTGGCCTGCTGCAGTGGGGGCATTAATAAGTGATGAATTTACTTGTTCCCAGGCATATAGCGTACTCGGGCATTAAATACATGCGTCGCTACATAGTCGACACAGTTTACAGAGAGAAACACGTACTAGGCTTCCATCCCAGAGAGATTATAGAGTGCGCCTTCGACATCGTCACACCGAAGACTGGTACGTAACGCCATTTATGTATCCGACGAAAGTATAATAATGAGAAGAGCAATTGATATTTCTTTCTCCTTTTCTATCTTAAAATTCTCAATACAAAAAAAATGCAAGTGACAACTTTAAACCTCAATAGGGATGATGACTAAATTTTTTTTCTTCGTTTATCAGGTAGATTATCAAAAAGTATTGGACACGTATTTTTTCTTTTTTCACATAATATAAACATTGCAGAGATATATTGATTTGAAAATTCGCATGACGTCACGTTTGAGTACACTTATAAGTACCTACTCCCAAACTTTGACGCGCTATAACTTTGTAATTTTTTTGGTTGATCGCCCAAAGAAAAAATACGTGTCCATTATTTTTTGATCATCTAACTGACGGACTAAATAGAATTTCGTTTACTGTACCCCGTCATCACCCCTATTGTACGGGCTTATCAGGATAGGAGTGGTAGACAAATAAGTAATGTAAATTGTTTTTTGATCACATAAGAATCGAAAGCGGAAAAGGGGAAAAAATACAAAAAATCACAAGGCAGAAGGGGGTGTAGTACTTGTTCTAGACTCTTGTTATGATACATAGATACTACCACAACTTACTTGTTGCAAAGGAGCTCGATGGCGCAGGTGTTAAGCATATTCTTTTTGCGATCGTGGAAGTAGGCAATTTCCACAGTGGGCGATCAGCGGATGGATGACCTAATGTGCTAAGGACGCACGTTATGCCGTTGATCCAGACTGACTGACTGATTATGAAGATAATGATTAAATCTTATCTCTTCTAGAATCCTTGTCTGAGGCGGAGTAGGGAGTTGTTGATGGTGGCGTATCGTTGTGCCAGTTCCCTCATAGTGATCACACATTTGAATCCCATGGTTGGATTTTGACTACGGGTTAGGGTTTTGGTAGGGTGATGGGAAAGCAACGACGCGAGTGATGTTTTAAGTATCCCAAACTTGAGAAACAAAACCACACTCTCACTCCCAGCATGCATTGGGGGGACTGCGCTCCTCAGAATGTACGACGGGTGACCGGTGCAGGAGTATAATCTGGTTTTTAGTGGCCCTGTTCAGGGCGTCAGGTAGGGCCCTGCTCATTTCACCCGGCCCAAGGGCTGGCTGTAATGAGCAGGGAGAAGTCCCACATACCTTCTTCTCGCTCCCCCGGTAGTTGACGGATGCGTAAGGCATTTCCCAGACAACAAAAACAAGGCGGGCTATGTGCTTTGCTCACTACGTTTTTTACGTAAAAAAGAAGATGATTTAATCTTATTTCTTATGCCGTGTGAGGCATTACGTTCCCTAAAATATGGTTGAGCAAAGCGATGGCTGGTTCTTGCGTCATGCTCGAGAATGGATGCTGCCAGTGGATATGAGTTTGCTGTCACTACTTTGCTATATTAGTAGTTATTTATATAGTTGCACCTAGTCCAGTCAATGAAGGCTTAACTTTGCCATTTTGAGTTGATCACCTGCAACCAACACGAAAATTTCCGCAAGGGTTCGTAGATTAATATACTAAAATTGCAGGGTGCTGCATTGACGGCAAAGGGTGAAAAAAAAAATGCGAAATGGTGCAAAAACGAGTTTTTCGGCAATATCTCGCGACTGGCTGGAAAAATAGAAAAAGTTCCTAGTACAAAGTTGTAGAAAATTTAATTTCCTACAAAAAAGGTATCAACATATTTTTGCGCATCTCCCATAGTCTGCACAAAATGCAATTAAAGGTGCAAAATAAAAAAAGAAAATATATTGTTAATGGTTTTTTTTCCCATTTTTAAACGATCCTACGGGTCAAATTCAACAATCACCACTTACTGAAATATTTAAGCATGAGTTTTCGGCAGTCCACTGAAATGAAAATTGACTACCGAAATGGTAAAAAAATTACCACCGAAATGATACAGCCAAGAACATCGCCTTTGTAGTAGAAGGGTTCCCTATTTTGAATTTAAATAAATTTCCTTATTCTTTGTAAATATTTTTGTTCATTATTTTTTAATAAGAATTATTAATGAAGAATTAATTAATTGTTACACCTATGTTTAATTAATTAATTGTTTTCAAAATAACAAACAAAGTGCGTTTAGAAAGCGAGAAGTTTATTAGTTAGTAAATCGTCCCCTTAGTGCCAAAACCGATTATCTGCACTTTTCCGCTACTGAACTTTTATAATACCAATCGACCCGTCTCATTAAGCCGCATCTACAGGTAAACCCCATTATGCTCTACGACGCATACTTTATGAAATAGCTAATGAATAAACAGAATAACTGAAAATTATTTCCAAAATTCTTGATTTAAATTAAACCCATTGAAAACACTTAAGCTGGTAAATGTATTACCGCTGAAACCAAATTTCGGATTTAAACTCATTTTTCATGTAGGCACTTAGAGTAAATATCCTGTGAGTATCCTGTAATTGGCTTTGACTGTTTGAATTTTACCAGATATTTTAATTTTACTAGATGAAGTAAAAAATAACAGATCTAAGTCGCTTTTTTCAAAAACAAATATATAGTATTTGCGTAATGTTTGAGGCAATTGAATAAGATACCGAATTTCAATTTGTTTTTACTTAATAACTTTTATTCAACTCTTTATAAATTACTTCAGCTAAAATCGATTATCGGTGCTTACTCTTTTCTTCCACTACAATTTATTAGCGTTAGACATCGTTACTTTAAAATTTATGCTTCAGCTAAAATCAGCTATCCATGTTTAACCGTCTCTTCCGTACACAGATCGCACGCTAGGGAGTGAGTTGCTCACTTTTATTCGTTCATTGTTGAATCGCGCGCTGGGAAGCAATGTTATTTTTTTTTAATTAATCACTAATAAACATTACTGGGTGAACTATTCTGCGTATTTGGTTTAAAATGATAACCACAAAGAAAGATAACGAAAAATAAACTAGATAAAAAAATTGATTTCAATTTGACTTTAACATTTATTTTTATTTCATCGCGATACGCGAGAAAGAGATACGCAAAAATATGTTGATACCTTTTTTGTAGGAAATTGAATTTTCTACAACTTTGTACTAAGAACTTTTTCTATTTTTCCAGCCAGTCGCGAGATATTGACGAAAAACTCGTTTTTGCACCATTTGGCATTTTTTTTCACCCTTTGCCGTCAATGCAGAACCCTGCAATTTTAGTATATTAATCTGCGAACCCTTGCGGAAATTTTCGCGTTGGTTGCAGGTGATCAACTCAAAATGGCATAGTTAAGCCTTCATTGACTGGACTAATAGCACTATTTGTATTCATACTGTATGGCACAGCAATCAAAATGCGACTAAAAATTTTATGTTTATTTCACGAATAATGTGAATGAATCATCTCCCAAGTAATTTTTCAACCTGACGACTGTAAATAATTGTACAGATAGAAAAAAAACCTTTTTGGGTTTCTTCCTGGTTCTTTTTAGTACAAGGTCACTCGCCGTAGATTTACGGACCGATGGCGTAGCTTCTAGACATCCACGAGTGCTTGTAACAGCCTAAACAGAATACATAAAAAAAAATCTTTTGATTTTTTCACTTCTAGAATCCTTGTGGTCTGACGCGGAGTTGTTGATGGTGGCGTATCGTTGTGCCAGTTCCCTCAAAGTGATAATACACTTGAACCACACGGAACTGCTTAGAATCCTGCTTTTATCTTGCGGAGTGCCGTCGGACAAACATGCAGATTTATACCCGGTACTGGTCGACGTCAGATTCGGTAAGATATTTCATGGTCATTAAAATTATAGTAATTTTCTATGTAGCGGGGATTACCTTGTTTTTGCGAGTCCCTGATAATTCTACACTGTTGCAAGTGCCATGATCATGGAGAAATTCATATATGTGAAATAGTAGCAACCATGATTAGATATAGGTAGTCCAAGGTTTTTCAAAGTAGGGGTTTGTTTGTTTTTCTATTAGCTTTAATTTTGATAATATACATCTTTTGTAAAAACTCATAGTTTTTGAGTTATTTATAAAAACCGCTTTCAAACATGTATTTTTATCACGAAAAATCACTATCTTTGGTCTTTAATAACTCAGAAAGTATTGATTTATTCCAAACTCTTTATATAACAAATTTTGATTAGAATTTATTTTTCTATCGATTTCTTGAGTTATTTTATTAAAATAATTTTCACCCCCCGGGACGAGGTGGCATCTACCCCCAGGGAAAAAGCGCAAGTTGACACTATGTCACTTTTGTTTCTTAAGGTATCCCCCACTACTCACCAATTTTCATGAAAATCGATGGAGGTTCGACGAAATTGGTGGTCGTAGCTAATTTTTGCCTTCATTGACTGGACTAATATGCTTAGTCATCTAAAAATGTTTAAATCGTGTCGCCACCATATCTGAAGTCTCCAGTCAGTTAAACACGGACACATGCACAATTATTTTTTTTTAAAACACGCGACAATATAGACTCACTTTGTCTATCTTTACATCCTATATGTACGAGTATGGCCAGCAGTGAGGACATTAAAGACTGATAATACTCTTTTTTTATCAACAAACAGGTCGCATAACAAGTCTCCAGCTACAGACTCATCTAACATCCCTCTGTGTCACAAAACGTGACGTTTCCAATTTGATCCGTCTAATGGAAGCCGATGTGCCCGTATACGAAGTTAAAGAACTCGTGACGTCGCTGGTGAAGCAAGCCAAGTGCGCCAAGATAGTGAGGCAAGCCATCACGGAACTTGAAGCGGTCTACAACAATGCCAAAGCTTTGGGATGCGATGTAAGTATTCATAAACTTGAGCTTCTTATGTAATAAAGGCTGGGGTAATAGGAAGTGAGAGAATTCGTGACGTCACTGCTGAAGCAAGCCAAGTGCGCCAACATAGTGAGGCAAGCCATCATGGAACTTGAAGCGGTCTACAACAATGCCAAAGCTTTGGGATGCGATGTAAGTATTCATAAACTTGAGCTTCTTATGTTTAAAGGCTGGGGTGATAGGAAGTGAGAGAATTTGTGACGTCACTGCTGAAGCAAGCCAAGTGCGCCAACATAGTGAGGCAAGCCATCACGAATCTTGAAGCTGTCTACAATAATGCCAAAGCTTTGGGATGCGATGTAAGTATTCATAGACTTAAGTTTCTTATGTAATAAAGGCTAGGGTGATAGGAAGTGAGAGAACTCGTGACGTCACTGCTGAAGCAAGCCAAGTGCGCCAAAATAGTGAGGCAAGCAATCACAGAAGTTGAAGCTGTCTACAACAATGCCAAAGCTTTGGGATGCGATGTAAGTATTCATAGACTTAAGTTTCTTATGTAATAAAGGCTAGGGTGATAGGAAGTGGGAGAACTCGTGACGTCACTGCTGAAGCAAGCCAAGTGCGCCAAAATAGTGAGGCAAGCCATCACGAATCTTAAAGCGGTCTACAACAATGCCAAAGCTTTAGGATGCGATGTAAGTATTTATAGACTTAAGTTTCTTATGTAATAAAGGATGGGGTGATAGGAAGTGAGAAAAGCCGTGACGTCACTGCTGAAGCAAGCCAAGTGCGCCAAGATAGTGAGGCAAGCCATCACGGAACTTGAAGCGGTCCACAACAATGCCAAAGCTTTGGGATGCGATGTAAGTATTCATAAACTCGAGTTTCTTATGTAATAAAGGGTGGGGTGATAGGAAGTGAGAGAAGTCGTGACGACACTGCTGAAGCAAGCCTAAATAGTGTGGCAAGCCATCACAGTCTACAACAATGCCAAAGCTTTGGGATGCGTTGTAAGTGGTTTAAAACTTTCTTAAGCTAACGCCTTTAGCACTCTAACGCGGCATAATACGGCAGCGAAATTGCGATAAATCTGTCTGTTTGTGATTTCCTCTTAATTTCACCTCGATCTGTGTCTGTCTTCTTGTATTATGTTAGACTATAATATATTTATCTAGGGGCCTAACTTGCTCGAATGTAAATAATTATTAAAATAAAATACATTTGCAGTGTCCAATGACAGTGGCGCCGTTTCTAGCGTACAACGCGACGCAGCACCGCGGTGTATTCTGGCAGATGTCCGTAGTGAGACAACGAGACCACAAACCGAACAAGTATCGATCCTGTGACGTCATCGCAGCTGGAGGCAGGTAAATGGAGATGGTAATAAGCTACTAGCGGAACTTCGCCTAAACTGCCGTCCTCAAACTAAAGTGCGGCTAAGTAACATGTGGTCGATTTTTCAGTCTTAAATTGCATCTTATACAGTTTTAAATCTCTATCCATCCCTCTTTAACAAGTATTCGTATCTTTTATAGTTTAAGTCTCTATATTCGACATGTGATGAATTGTTACAAAATAGCTACGCTAGCTATACGCGCCGTTTTTTGCCATATCTCAAAAGTTGGTTTTGTCATTTAGCCGCGTTTTAGCTTGAGGACCGCAGTAAAGCCTCGGTAACACGGGCGAGTTTACAAGCTGCAAGCTTGTAGTGTCTTCGGATTTTTGAAAATATGCTGCTCGATGACACAGGGCGAGTTTGCAAACTGTCAATGAAGGAAGTTAGTCTGAGGAAAAAGGTTATAGTGAGTGAAACTTGAACAAACAACAAACTTGAACTGTAGCAATTAAAGATACTGGAACAAGTAGGACTACTTGTTCCGGTGTCTTTAACTGCTCCAGTCATTTGCACCATGAACATGAACAAGCGAGTAACTTGTACAAGTAACTGGTACACACTACTAAGTGGGTATGCAATTTTATATGGGTAGATCACGGCATGCCGCAGACGGTATTCTAGCAGATTATAGAAAAAAAATACCACAGATAATTTAAGAAATTTGAATCTACTAATTTCCCCGAAATTTGTCGTCGAAGACGAGCTCAAAAGCAATACAACATTTGTCGGGTCTGCAAATAAATAAATAAAAGTTTATAGTTTTTTTCTTTGTTAAAAGGTATGATGTGCTGGTAGAAGAGTTCTGGAAGGTAGCGAACGAAGACACAGACTTGAAGTGTACCTCTGTCGGCTTTTCTCTCTCCTTGGAGAGGATGGCGGCCATTTTGAAGAAAATGGAAACCGAATTAATGTCTCCTATTAAAAGTCTTGAGGTGTGTATATGTTTGTCTGTATCAATGAATTAAAAATGATATGGAAGCATTGCTCTCTAATAAGGCCCGCTAAAACAGTTCCAAGCTCGTGCAACTTAACTTTCAATACTAACGCGGCACGAATACAGACAAAATAAAATACTTTACTACAAATATCTTGCAAATGAATTCGGCTATCCATTCATTAGGTAAGATAATGTTAAACGGAAATCCTAACCAATTCTATGATCGGCGTGTCGACCGTAGTTTTTTCGCCCCGCCCACTTGATCACAGTTTGTGTGGTACCACTTTTAGCGCAGTTCGTATTCCATAATTATTATTTCTTCTGCGTTTGTCTGTATAGAATAATTGCCCGTATAATAAATCTGTCTGAGTAAAATTTGACTTGGCACTATTCGATGCTTAAATTAAGCTTGTCTGTAAGATAAATTTACTCAGTTATAGAACAAATGCCATCCGCAACATCAAAATACTACGATTGACAAATCTTCGTTTTCCTAGTGTAGGGACTGAAATATTCTAGTTCTTTAGCCCGGGGGCGTGGGGCGTGGGGTCCCGGCGGCCACTCCCGGGAGGGTGCGGGGGCCCTTCCGTCCGTTGGGTCGGCGTATCTCTTTCGCAGGCAGTTACTCGGGAAAACGTGCCTTCATATATTTGCCTGTCTTTGTCGCGACTAACTGCACTCGATTCACGTCTCTCAACTTTTTTCTCATGATGGCAGCCCGTAAAATAAAGTTTGGTTGTACAGCGGTGCACACCCCCACGCCTTCCGCGCTGTTTGAGGTTGAGTTCTGTAATATACGCGGACTCCACTCTAACCTCAATGCTGTCCACCACCATCTTGAGACAGCACGGCCAGCACTATTGTTTCTCACGGAGACACAAATACTTCCGCCCGCTGACACAGGCTACCTTAAATATCCCGGCTACGCGCTTGAAGAATCCTTCAAAGCAAAAGCCGGCGTATGCCTGTATGTTCGAGCGGATGTTTGTTGTCGCCGTTTGAGCTGCCTGGAAGACCCCTCCTTTTCCATGTTGGCGGTACATGTAGACTCTGGTCCTTTGGCCAGAGTCTACGTGTGCCTCTACAGATCTCACACCGGCGACGCTGAGACAACTCGACTGTTTGACCACCTCAGTAGGGTAGCAGATGATGCCCAGGCGCAATTTCCCAACGCAGAACTGGTGTTTTTGGGAGACTTTAACGCCCACCACGGTTTGTGGCTTGGCTCTTCCAAAACTGACCATGCAGGGATCTCTGCCCATGCATTCGCTCTCACGCACGACCTGACACAACTGGTTGATCAGCCCACCAGGATCCCAGATATAGCAAGTCAAGCGCCTTCTTTACTGGACCTTCTGCTTACGACCCATCCGCAGGAGTATCAGATTGTGGTTCGAGCCCCACTGGGTTCATCAGACCATTGCCTGATATCTGTCAAGGTGCCACAGGCCAAAACCCCTCGACCATTGGTGGTCAAACGCAGGGTCTGGCACTATGGGTCGGCAGATTGGGATGGTATGCGCGATTACTTTGCGTCTGTCCCTTGGAAGCAGCGCTGCTTCAATGAAAAGGACCTATCATCCAGTGCCGTTGCCATTACTGAGGAGATCGTAATGGGAATGGAGTATTACATTCCACATTCTGATCTCATCAGTAAGGGCACACGTAACCGCTGGTTCAATCGCGATTGTGCCGATGCTGTTTCTCGTAAGCAGGCGGCATATCGCGCTTGGATCAGAGGCCGCGCTCTTAAGGATCCCGGGGTTAACTCATTGAAAGCTGCCTATAATAGTGCTTCCAAGTCTTGTAAGAAGGCTTACATCAGAGCGGATGCCCAACGTGTAGCACGTACTGGCCACGAATTGTTAACGCACCCTACGGGCTCCCGTAGTTTCTGGCGTTTGGCTAAGGCCGTGCAACACAACTTTTGCCAGCCCTCGCTGCCACCTCTGCGATGTCCAGATGGGTCACTAGCTCATGAGCCGCAAGAGAAAGCCGATTTGTTGGCAAAGCTCTTTGCGGCTAACTCCCGAATCAGTGATTGCAATGCACTGCCACCTACACTACCTCATTGTGGCACTACGATGCCTGACATTAAAATCAGGCAGCGTGATGTTCGTGCGGAATTGCAATCACTCGACGTCCGGAAAGCTAGTGGACCCGATGGCATCCCAGCAGTTGTTCTAAAACATTGTGCAGCGGAGTTGTCTCCCGTGCTTACGCGACTGTACCAACTCTCTTACTCTTTGGGGCGTGTGCCGGAAGCTTGGAGAGACGCCAATGTGCAACCGGTGCCCAAAAAAGGGGACCGCTCAGACCCGGCCAACTATCGGCCGATAGCTGTCACCTCAGTGTTGTGTAAAGTCTTAGAAAGGGTCCTTAACAACCATCTGACCCGCTACCTAGAAGATTACTCTCTAATTCACGATCGTCAATACGGATTTAGGCCGAATCGATCGACGGGTGACCTTCTAGCGTACGTGACACACATCTGGGGTGAAGCTATAGACAAGCGGGGAGAGTCTCTGGCTATTAGCCTTGACATCGCCAAGGCTTTTGACAGGGTCTGGCACAAGAGCCTTCTCTCCAAGCTTCCTGCATACGGTCTGCCTGCTCAGCTCTGCGCCTGGGTGGCTGACTTCCTGCATGAGCGTAGAATTCGCGTCCTTACGGACGGATGTAGTTCGCAGTTCATGTCAGTGAATGCCGGTGTTCCTCAGGGTTCCGTTCTATCCCCCACACTCTTTCTGCTGCATATCAATGATTTGATTCCACTTGCGAATATTCATTGCTATGCAGACGATAGCACAGTGCATGCGAGATACTTTGGACACGCGGCGGCTGGACAGGTAGAAACCATGGAGAAACGGGAGAATCTTGTCGTTGAGCTCAATCGGGCTTTAGACCACATTTCCGAATGGGGTACTAGGAACTTGGTTGAGTTCAATGCCAAGAAAACTCAGGCTTGCGCTTTCACGGCAAAAACATCGCCATTCCTTCCCCTTCCCTCTCTTCAGGGCACAACACTGGCGCTACAGAGCAATATTACCATGCTCGGTATGGAAGTTCGCTCAGACCTGAATCCAAAGGACTACATCGAAACGTTGATCAAAACAGCTTCACGCAAACTCGGAGTCCTGAACAAGGTGCGGCGTTTTTTCACGCCCGATCAACTGTGCTTGTTGTACAAAACACAAGTGCGGTCCTGCGTGGAATATTGCTCGCACCTCTGGGATGGCTCCGCAAAGTACTTACTCGATGCCTTGGATAGGTTGCAGCGGCGCGCTGCCCGCATCATTGGCGATGAAGAGGCAACTAAGAAACTCGAGTCTCTACAATTACGCCGTGATGTGGCATCATTAAGCGCATTCTACCGAATATACCACGGCGAGTGTTCTGAGGAGCTATTCTTGCTTATCCCTCTATCACCTTTTCTTCAGAGGACCACGCGCGCTGGCCTACGTTGCCATCGACTTACTGTGGCCACTATTCCTACACGAACAAAGAAATTTGGCGACTCATTTCTTTGTCGTACTATTCGTAAGTGGAATTCTTTTCCCGCGCACGTGTTCCCTCCTTCCTATAATCTGGGGTCCTTTAAGAGAGGCGTGAAGAAGCATTTTTGCGGGCCGGCAAGGTGAGGATGGTTGGTGTAGCAGTTAATAACTGCTGTACCAGCTATCTTCGCGTTTGGACTTTATCACCACTTAACATCAGGTGGGGTAGAGTCATTTGCCTACCTAGTAATATAAAAAAAAAAAAAAAAAAAATCTATCTCCCCACCCCTTTTGCTCTTGTATTTAGGTTTGACCAAAAAAATATTATCTCGAGCTCCTCCGTGTTATATATATGGCCTCCATGTTTCATTAAGGTACGGGTTGTTCATATTAGACCAAGAGAATATACGTACTCCCATCCCGAACCGCACCCGCCTTATGTGTATTTTGTGCTTAAGCTGATTGTTCTACTGCCACATCTGGAGTTATAATCTCCCACAAATCCGCATATATGTTTGCAAGGGTAAAAGCCAATATTCCCCTTTCCATACATATTGAAGGCCCATGCCGTCCAATGGGGAGGGGAAGGCTGATGATAAATATCTCACTTATGTTATAAATCTGAAACTTAGTATGTTAATTAATCAGCATTCAAAACCTACTGATCTAATTTGGATGAAATTCGAAACTCATATAGTTTACTACCATGATACTTTTTAAGCCATAAAAAGTTAGGTACCTGTGGCAGAAAAAATTAGTAGTGGCGACCACTAATCGCAACCACAAGCTGCGGGCGAGTTTCTTCATACATTTTGTACAGTATCACCGCAAACCTTCGGTCAACATTTCTATAAATAACGGGTTGCATGCAAAATCAAAGCTAAAAACTGTCCGCGTGAGATTAAACTTATGAAGCTGCATTCGATTCCCAGTAAACAAAGACAAATGTTTTAAAACAGTTTATGTTGAACCTAATAACAACCATGTTATAAAGGAATAAAGTTACAAATAATGAAATGTTATTTCGTACATACGACCTTTAACCGACCGACCCATTGGCTGTGTATTAACTGAACTAATTAAAAATAATATCTCACGCCTCAAGTGAGGCTTAATAGGGTATTTGACAAGTTTTAGAAAATGATCTCACGTTATTGACCAATGTTAATGGAATCCGTAAAAAGTGGATATTCATCATTCTGTTGTGTATTTCAGTAAAAATAACCAAATTAAAAACTCCATTTTCAAGTTGCCGCGAAAACGTTTCTCTGGACAATATGGCGTCTTACTAGTGTGTGATGTCACACGACTGTTATTAAAACGTCAAACGATCCCATGTAATGTCACTTTAACCGGAAGTTTACTTGCGTATGACGTCATTTTAGGCTATGCAATCCCAAGCGTTTTGGATCACGTGACGAGATAAGAAAACTATTATCTTTTTCGTGGGTTTTAGTAAAATAATAAATATTTTTTTTTGTAAAAATTCGGGTGTCCTGGACTGAAGACTATATACATAAACCAAAAATTCGAAAGAAGTTTCTTTTGTTCGTAATAGCACCTTACTCTATGTTGAATACTGTGTCAATAAAGTTTCTTTAAATGAATAATAAGTGTGTTAAATTCCTCTATCCTAAGCCTATTTAAGTACTGCTGCTCATGAAGCTCATGAAAGCTCATGAATCAATAAAAAAAACAGAAAACATTAAAGGAAAAAATGCATGTAGGTATCAATGTTTACGTAAGCACGTGAGGGGCAAGGAAGCAAAAGTAAGCAAAGCTCTTACTACCCGAGCTTTGCTTACTTTTGATGACAAGGGGGAGGAGCTGGTAAACAATTGTAATAAATCTGCTTACGTAATACTTGAACGGCCCCTTATTTACCTAAACGGATTTTACGCGCTGGCCCGTTATCTATAGTATTGTTGATCGAAGCCACAAACCAAGCCTACCAACGGCAGTAAAAAAATAAATTAAATGTAGCCAAACGCAATTCTTATTAATAAAGCTAATTCTAGTACTTAATAAAACAAATACACTATTATTCCGCAGTCTACTCTAGTATGTGTATGCGTTTGGGGAACGGCCGGTAACGGAAAAGACGGTCATTTAGCCTCAAGCCGGGCTCAGTTATTGAAGAGACTGTGGGCAGAAGATGTGAACTGCTGTTCTTGGCCGTCCAGCAATGTGGATGCATACGTCCACGAAATAAGCAAAGCGGGAATGGTTCTACTGCTAGAAGATGCTGCTGTTAGAGTCATGTGCTGGAACAACGATAGGTAAATATAACGCAGACTTCATTGAAGTGCGGCCAACGAAAAAATTTCAATCCTGACAAGTAGTTCCCGTTTTTTATGGCAAGGCGACAGATTAAAGTATTCTTTCGATCTAGTTAAAAAGATGTCTGGAAATTAACTCTAATTCTGTTGCCAGGAGGAAAGGTCGCGATCTGTCAGGATCGCATTCTTTTGTTGGGTGCTCTATAAAAACAATGAAGAAGACCTTGAAAGGCAATGTGAATGATTTGATAAATATGACGCAAATTTAGAAATGCTTTATGAACAATAAAGAAGAAGTAAGCAGATGTTCTCAGCGGTACAGAAATATGGATGCAGAAGCCCTCGAAACGTGCAAAGCGGGAACGTGTGCTGGAACAACGACAAATAAATTTAACGCAGATTTAGGATCAATAAAGAAGATCTGAGCGGTCCAACGATGTAGACGCCCTTCGGACGCTTAGCCCACACGTGCGTGACGAACCTTCGGATGGCTTAAATATTAAAATGCGCTAAAATTCGTTTCCGACCTTTGAATTAAGCACGTCCCTTTAGCTGCATATACAAAGGCTCCATTTTTTTCTCTATACAACTCTGCCCAATGTTGTACCTCAAGTCATGTTGTCATGCATTAATGTGTTGAAAAATACGCAGAATTCATCAAAAATGAAAATGGGGTGGATAATATCCACTTGAATGACACAAAAACGTCGTTCCAACATTTATATTAACACAGGTAATATATTATGCTAAATTTACATCTTTATATACCTAAGTTCATAACTAACAGCTACGGAAATCACGTGATTTTTGATACATCCAATCACAATGAAGGAATAGTTATTTATTATACAAGAGTGGAAAGTTCCTTTTTAACCGCGTGCTCGATTTGGATGACCGAGCAAGCGAAGGATTCTAAAGTTGAATCACGAGCGCAGCGAGTGATTCTAAATTAGAATCCTGAGCGTCAGCGAGGGAAACAAACGAGCACAAGGTGAAAAATCTTTCCACTCGAGTGCAATACGTAACTTTTCATCCCACCTCAGCGAGGAAATGACAAAATGAAAAAGAAAACAATTTATAATGACAAAATATTTAAGCAATAAAACGTGAAAAACTAGAATGGCGCGAAGCACGCAAATAAAACAAAGAAACCAAGAAGGTTCCAAATTTAAATTTTTTCACAATTTAAAAAGTTCTAATCATAAATTTGGCACCATAGAGGTTACATTAAATAGGTTTAATGACGTTTTGAATTTACAATTATATTGAGTACTCATTATATGTGATGTTCTAAATTCAAATCTACTTTGCCGCTCAAGCGAATAAAATAGAATTTTCCAGCCAGATTTCGAAGCGCAAAATTACACTTTCCGAGGTGGTGGGATGAAAATGCATTTAAACCAATAGTATTAGCTGTCATCTGTCAGTCAATAACAAATTGCGGTAATGACTTACGCTTCTTTATACACTCTATTTTAATTTAGATTTTCAAAAAAAATATTGAATGATTATAATAATATAATAATAATAAATATATCTTTATTCAAATAAGGTCATACATTGCGTAATAATACTAATAACAATGATTGATTCTTTTTAATTATAATTTTAGATGTTTTTTTGTGATAATTTGCACCAAGGTAGAAAATTGGGCAAAAATCGGTCTCCTTATCGTTTTCCACAACGTCTTTTAGCGTGTCAGTTTATCACCAATCAATCTATAATCTAGCGTCTGTAGACAGGGAGCCCGCTCATTCTTAACGACAGCACATTCTTATTTCGAACCTTAATTTTAGCGCAATAAGTACCAAAGCCACCCGAAGCATCGTCACGCAGGTGTGTGAGAAGCAAGACATATATTTCTACTATAAATAATTTATCTGTGTATTATTCTTTGTATTTCTATCCGTTACCCGAGAATACCCGAGAGATTACACAAGATTTACAGCGCTTGAGGAGCTCGATGGCGCGGGTGGTTAGCGCATTGGGCTGCAATCGTTGAAGCAACCTTCGCAGGGGTCGGTCATTGGATGGTTGACCAAAAATCTTCTATCGAGTTCCTCCGTGCTTTGGAAGGCACGTTAAACCGTTGGTCCCGGCTGCATCTGCAGTCGTTAGTACCCGCCAATCCGCACTGGCCCCGCGTGGTAGGTCATGGCCCAATCGCCCTATTCCATCCATAGGGTAGGCATGTGTCCCAGTAGTGAGGACATTAATAGGCTGATGATGATGATTACAGCGCTTCCTTAGGGGCTTGGTTAATCGGGTATTTGTCAAGTTTCAAAAAACGATGTCACGTTATTTACTAATGTTTATGGAGTCTATAAAAAGTGAATATATTTAGTTCTGATGCGTAGTTCACCAAAACAATTAAATTAAAAATTCAGTTTTCAAATTGCTGTGAAAACCATTTCTCTGGACATTATGGCGACTCACTAGTCACACGGTTGTCATTAAAACGTCAAACGATATAATGTAATGTCACTTTGGCTGGAAGTTACTAGTGTGTGACGTCATTTTAGTCTACCAATCCCAGGCGTTTTCCGTCACGTGACCATGGAGCAAAAAATAATTTCCGTTTAATGATTTTATAGGAAAGTAATTTATTATTACTTTATTCAGAATAGTAAAATCGCGGCTTATATCTATATTTAACACAGATGCCATCAATTAGTACATTATTTTTCTTATTGTCAAATAGCCTTTTGATATGAGTGTTAGATATAATCATTAATTTTCTTCAATATGTATTTTTTTTCCACAGAGTGCGGGAACACAAAGTATCCTATTTCGACGCGGTAGACTTCGTCAAGCAAAAGTTACAACCGGCTACAATAAGATCTCCTGAGGGTAAGAAAGAAAGAAAAAAGATATAAATATTTCCAACACTCACACCAATTAGCCTAGCCCCAAAGTAAGCACTGTAGGTTTGTGTTATCGGATACTAGGGTAAATACATTAATAAAACGCTGGTTGTTATTTTATGTTTTACACCACGACAGAGTAGGTAATTAATGAGTAAGAATACCTATGTATATGTATATAGCGGCTCGTATATTATGAAAATTTCGAATCAGGAACTGTAAAAATTGTAAGACCCATTCGGATAGGCAGCCGGTTGTCAGCCGCTGTTTTTACGTTATTTTATGTTTTACATCATGACAGAGTAGGTAATTATTGTTGTTTTATAACTATATATAAACAACTAAAAATATACTATATAAAAACCGCTGTTTAATAACTAGAACCATGACCCACCACGCGGTCCCAGTGCGGATTGGTGGATGCTAATGTCTGCAGATTCAGCCAGGACCAGCGGCTTAACGTGCCTAATGAAGCACGGAGGATTTCGTATAATAAATTTTTGGTCACCCATCCAATGACCCACCACGGTGAACGTTGCTTAACTTCAACGAATTATATGAATACACAGTTAAGTTGTGTGGCTCTTTCAGGTGTCAATAACAGAACGATCAGCTGCAACGAAAACGATAAGTCGAGCAGCCCCAACATTTCTGTCACTTTCATCACTGCCAGTGAGAAAATGACCAAGAACTCCAAGAGGAATTGCGAAAATCCAGTAAGATATTTCTGTCTATTACTGAAGTTTAAGTATATTTCTTTCTATAACTGTAGTTTAAATAATCACCCGCCTGAAGTTAAGCGGCAACTATATAAAAAGTACAATTTTAAGTCTTAATCCATGTGCGAACAGCAATACAATTTTTAATCGTACTTATTATGCGATTCAACTAAGAATAGTACCGACTTTGCGCCCTATTTTGACGTCATAGCTGTCAATTCAAACCAAATATGTAGAGTGAGCAAAAAAAGTTTTTATTTAATCAAACTTATTTACTAAGATTAAGTGAGAAAAAACATCAGAATTTACAATAAAATTTATTTACATTGATATTAAGATTGAGAAAAAAAACAACCGATATTTAAGAATATTTATTTATTAAAACTGTGTGTTGGATTTCGTATTTTGCGGGTTTTTAATAATTTCATTATAGGGTAGTTTATGCACTTGCAATTGCCTTAATCCAATCTGTCTCCCATCCTTTTCATACATGTGCACTTTTAGCTATGGCCGTCCTGCTTTCGACGACACCGCGGAGTGCATAGGACATTATACTTTTTCCACCTCTCTCTTGTGAACGTTGTAATGGAAGACACACATGTTGTGATATAGTATCCAAAAATTACTGTGCGATCATACTATTAGTGAACATTTTACATTGTGCAATTTATATAAATACAAAATCTGTGCCGGCAAACGATTTATTTTCGATATAAGTGCTTGAAGGATGACTTGCGACCAAACGGATGGTGTGCTGAGGTAAGTGCGCATGTTCCTTTGTCTCCAAGTCTTCAACCATTTTCTTCGTCCTTAAATAGATAAGGCATTTGCAAGGCGCAGTTTATTTTGTATTTTTAATAATATATGATTGTGTATTACCGCCCCCCAGATACAGTCCACTATTAACCTACGCCTAGGGTTAGCCTCTCCATATAAGTATTGAGCACGAAAAATTATTATTTTCCCGCAACCCAAGTTATGGGGGTTTAGGCGCCTCCATACTTTTTTGGTCACTTCGATCCGAATTTTCCCAATATTTATGGTCAGTTCTAACCAGATTTTCCCAAATTAATGTAATTTCGCTACAGTTTTAATCATTGCTTTCACGAATATAAGTGTTGTTGTTCAATTTGGCAAATATTTACATAGAAATCATAAATTCATTTTCGTTCAAATTCACAATCGCTAATAATTTACAATTTACTAAAATCCGCTAAGTATAACTTATAGTGGTACTTGTGCTACGTAAATTAAATAAATTGTCGAATTTCTATTGTTATTATTCCGCATCGACAGTTTATTGTTTTTATTTCCGCACCGCATTACGTAGTCCAATGCATCATTGAGTTATACACATTCCATTTTTCGCATAATTTGTAATAATGTTCATTTTATTTTATCATTGTTCGGTTAATATCGGCTCGCCCCGCTAACGATCGTACACTCGCGTCTCAGCGTTCGCTACCCGCTAATAGTATTTTTTCTTACCCGCCAATCTCACCCGCTAATATTTTTACTATAATTTACTTTTAAAACCGTTAAGATTGCCTACTATATACATTCTGTTAAAGATCCAATAGCATTCACATAACATATTTACCTTTAATTTATTTACCGCACATATTTTTATTCTTTATTGCCTATCGTAATTTGCTAACTATTTATAACCATGGTTTAGTCGAAGAGGAGGGGCAGTGAAGGTTTTGCAGGGGATAGTTATGATACAAATAAAAATCAGCTGACTATTTATATAGTCAAACGCGATGTTATTTATAAACGCATAGAAAATATTTATGAGCTCGCACAAAAATCGGAAAAAGATCCGCAATATTATAAAGCATTTTGTGCTAGTGCATTAAATATAGACACTTTACGTTCAGATTATCAGGAAGTTTTAGATTCCTATAATATATTAAATTTACAGTTACACCCAGATTCCGAGGTTGACTATGATTCCTGGTTAACATTTGAAGTTATGTTTTGTTATATAAAACAAATTCTGCTCGATAACACAAATGAATTATCTAATTCAAAAAGTAATTTAAAATCTAAACCCCGCCTTCCGCCTATCGACTTGAATGTCATTTAACGGAGATGTAAAAAATTGGCCTTTATTTTTCCAACAATTTAAAAATATGATTCATGATAACGCATCGCTCACTGATAGTGAAAAGGTATTTTATCTAGTTGGCAAATTAACGGGACAGGCGTCTAGCGTCTGCGCAGGGTTGGCTCCCACCGCAGAAAATTATATTGTTATTTGGGAGGCACTCGTGCAAAAGTATGACGATCCTCGCTCACTCGCATGTGCATACCTTAATCAGTTGTTACATTTTAAACCGCTATCAAATACTAGTTCAACCGGGCTCGATTTATTTATAAATAATTTTGATTCTTCTGTAGAAGCGCTTAAGCAACTGAAGCTTAACGACTTAACTGATTTTATTTTCTTGCATTTAGCTCTGCAAAAGTTAGACGCAGACACAATTAAATTGTTTGAAATTACGTATCGCAAAGATAAAATACCTACTTATCATAATTTAATTGAATTTATTAAAGAACAGAGTAAAATTTTGTCTCGTTCTGCGCACATTAGTAAACCGGTTGAACACTCGCAACACAAACAACGTAATCATAACCGCGTCCCTATGCCGTCGACAAAATCCTTTGTAAATACGGACACGGGAAGTGGTTCCAATACAAGCGATAAATGTTCTTTGTGTAAAAATAAACAGCACGATCATGTGTATTCGTGTTCGTCTTTTATGAAATTAACTCCACGTGAAAAATATAATTTTATAAAAATAAATTCTTTTTGTAACAACTGTTTAAGCTCCAAACATAAAACATTTTTTTGTACTTCTAAAAATACTTGTTCTCATTGTTCTATGCGGCACCATTCTTTATTACATTTTAATAATGCAAATAAATCTAATTGCAACGTCGCCGCAGTGGTGTCCGCCGCTTCTACTGTACCCGCTCACTCCGCTACCGCTATTGACGAGTCCCGTCCTGCGACGGGCAGTCGTTCCGAGTCCGATATGACTCATCACTCCCGCACCGCTAATATTAACCATGCACCTATTGCATTTAAGGTCGAAAATAATTTACTGCGCTTGAATAAAAATGATGCATCGGTTTGCACAGTCTCTTGCGATTTAGTAAGTCGTTATCAGACGACTACGTTGTTAGGGACTGCGAAAATTAAAGTAATCGATTGTAATAACCGCATTCATTATTTGAGATGTCTTGTTGATCCTGGCTCTCAAAGTGATTATATTTCCGCTTCCTGTCGTAAGCTACTTTCGCTTTCTATTAATAATAATTCCCGCTATTCGGAAGTTCAAGGCATAGGAGGAGCTACACAAAAAATATTAGGTATAACCGCACTCACATTTTCGTCGCGCTTTGATAATAAATGTGAATATTCTATACGGCCCATGATAGTTGAGCAGATTACGTCGCACCTGCCCGACTCGCGCGTAGATGCAGCAGCGATTACATTTATTCGTAACTTACCACTTGCCGATGATGAGTTTTCACAACCGGGGCCTATTGATATACTTTTAGGTGTTAAACTTTTTTGTGAGATTTTACTTTATGATCATATTAAAAGTCAGCGTAACGGCATGCCCTCCGCCTTTGAAACGACCTTAGGTTACCTAATTATGGGTGACGCTCCTATTATTTCTCCGCTACCCGCTACTCGCACATTGTGTGCTTTTACTTCAGATCCGCTACACCAGATTGTCGAAAAATTTTGGGCCATTGAAGAGTTACCTTCAAGCACTTTCTTAAGTCCCGATGATCAACAGTGCGAATATATTTATTCTTCAACAACTGTTCGTAACTCTGACGGCAGTTATTCTGTTGATCTTCCCTTTAAAGATGACCCCAATAAATTAGGCAATTCTTATAATACCGCTAAGAAACGATTTTTACTTCTCGAAAGGAAGTTTTCTAAAAATCCAAAACTTAAAAATGCTTATGACGAAATTATTCGTGAATACCTAAACAAAGGTATTTTATTCCGCACCGCACCTGAGTTATGCAACAGCCCAGGTTTTTATTTACCGCACCACCCTGTAGTTCGCGACGACAAAGTGACTACTAAGATCCGCCCAGTGCTGGACGGCAGTGCCAAAACCGACACAGGGCTATCTTTAAATGACATATTACTCACTGGTTGCAATTTGCAAGCAGATATTTTTCACATTCTTTTGAATGTTCGCATTTTCCGCATAGCATTTTTTGCAGATGTAAAACAAATGTATTTGTGTATTTACACTAACGCATCGCACCGTAAATATCAACGTATATTATATAGATTTTCGAATAATGACCCGCTAGAAGTTTTTGAGTTCACTAGGGTGACATTTGGTCTCCGATCTTCTCCATTTTTGGCACTCCGCACCCTACGTCAGCTCGCTAGGGATGAACGACATAAGTTTCCAAACGCGGCAGACATCATAGAAAGAGATATATATATGGACGACCTGGCTTCGTCTGTTTCTTCGTTTGGAGAAGCAGTCACGACAGCTGCAGAGTTGATCCAGCTGTTCAAGGCCGGTGGTTTTGACTTAGTCAAATGGGCATCCAACTCGCCTGAATTGCTTAACAGTATACCGGAGTCGCACCGACAGTCTGAATTTATTTCTTTCGACGAGGGAAATATATTTAAGATTTTAGGCTTGCGTTGGTTACCTACTCTGGATTCGTTTGTTTTCGAAACTTCTAACCCGCCGTCTGTTTGTACAAAACGTACTGTACGGGACGCCGGGCTGTCGCAGTAGCGGACAGTTACCGACTCGTACTGAGGGGGTGGAGGAAGTTACACGCAGGAGTCTTGACTGTAGTGGACTGTAGTTTCGGCGAATAAAACCCCTGGTGTTCGGTATTGAAGAAATCGGTGGGCGCTGATAATGGATGGCCGGTGAGAGGAGGCTTCAGGTCCAGAGTGAACCGCTTGGTTGTTTCTTCCTGTTCCTTAGGGTAGG